CCCATTTAGTAGCATGAAAAACTCAGCAGGATGCTTTTTGTTCTAAACTGCATGTTGCAGAGTTTTCCCTTATATCGTTAATGACCAATCTTAAAGCAAAACATCACCAATGAGGTAAAATGTGCAGTATAAATTAGTAGAATACCTTAAGTTACATTCGATTTTCAGTGCTGTCCCTGGCTATTCCTCGATAATTAACATTTAAAACAGTATAACCGACTTAATTACTCATATTTGATGATAAATAGTAATTAATCTGTATTGTTCATTCCTTCATTTTTCACAATTATGGATGATATTTTCCCCAACAACAATTTTCTCTAAATAAAATAGAAAATGGAGGTTCATACAGGTATTCTGCGGTGAAAAGCATTAAAAAAATGCAGCAGTATTACGGGCGTCCTCCATTTTTTTTGGAGACGGTTAAAATATATTATTTTATTGCATTGACTACTCGTAACATTAACTACAACTTTATGACTTTCAATAGAGAAAGTAATAGTGGCCTTAATGTATAAAGTTATTTAACTTGAGTCGTTTATTTATAGCCAATCAATTATAGCGTTCTAAAAAATAAGAAGCCAGGGAGGAACGTTACTAAAGTTTACGTAAGTTGTCAATAAGTCATTTATTGAGGATGGTGATTAATGTCGTTACTAAAAATATTAGTAGCTTGAGTTTCTAAAAGGTAGGTAACTATTAAAAGAAGTTATTAATGAGGTCTTCTGAAACTTAATTTTGTTTTACTTGAAAAACTTGGCGATGATAGACAACTGTAGTTGATTTATATTTTTGTATGCTTTACAAACATACAATTAACCGACACAAAACTGCTTTACAAACCAGTTTTAATCTCAAATAATCTCAGGTATGTCTCAAAATTTTCCTGTTTTGTATTTAAATATCACATTATTACCGACTTCAAATATATACTATAACTTAAAGCAAACAAAACAGAGAATGTAAAGTGTAGGATGCAAATTATTACAAGGTCGTCGAGGCTGTGTTATGAACGAACGATAATTGCCATTAAAGTTGTTATTATACAACGGCTACATGAATAAAAGACACCTTACCTACAGCAACTAAACGAGAGGCTAAGAAATATAAATTGAACGGTATATTAAGGTCAGTTTTAGAATGAAACGGATATTAAATCGGCGTATCAGTGTACACACTGATTGCTGAATAATCAAGTTTTGAATAACCTAACAAAAGACTGCTGAATGGTTGGCGCTTGGTAGAGGCTTTCGTTTAACACTGGACGGCAATAGGCTGTTGATGAGACTACTAGATCAATTGTTCCCTAATTTATAACATCTTTCCTCTGACTTTCCTGAAACTGTGGGACGGAAGATTGTAAACGGAAGCCGGGCAAGCGTGCGCTATATGATTTGACCAATGAGCACACGCGGTGCTAGAGTTGCTATTTAATTTGACCAATGAACACACGGTGCTGGAATTGCAATTTGATTTGATTAAATGAGCAGATGCGGTGCTAGAGGTAGCCGATGAGATGTCAGATGTTACATATCATTTGCGACTGCACAGATGACGTAGTGGTTTAAATAGTCACCACGCCGCTTCTTGCTGGGGTGTTTTGGGTTTGATCCCCACATAGGACAACACTTTGTGTGATCAACAAATTATTGCTCTGAGTTTAGGTGTTCTTTGTGTCCATTTCTGTATGTATGTTTGAAAAGTCATATAGATGAGTCGATAGTATATATTCCAAAAGGTAATTTGTTTAAAAAAAAAGAGTATGATCAAGGTCTTCCTCATATTCCATTAATTTATATTTTTTATAGGGCAGCTGTACTGTAATATATTTAATCATAATTAACTGTCTTAATAACAAAAAATTGAATTAGAACCTTCTTTCTAAGTTGATTTCAAATTACTTTTAACTGTCGTATCGAAATGAAACTTTGGATGTACATTTGGTGATTATTGGCATTTTCAAAATCATTTGATGATGGAGTCATGAAAAGGGTAGGTTAACCCTTCAGTGGCTCATGGAGTTCATTTTGACGAGTCCAATAAATTGGGCTGTTATAGATGTTCAGATTATGAAGACTTACTGTCATTGTGTAGCGTTTAAAGTAAATAGATAAATGGTCACAATAAAAATGAAGACATTTTATTCTATTATCTCTTAAATTAATATCTCATACTTACAATGATACGTATTATAATGTTATTTTTATAAACATTACATCATCATTCGTTATTGTAAAGAGTTAACGTCTATGTGACTAATTAAAATCTACCTCCACACCTTCAACCATAATGAATTAAAGAATATCAATTTACGTATTCCATTTACATGGCAACAAAACGCGACGAATCTCCACAACATTCCTACCGTAGTTTTAGCTAAAATTTATTCTAAGTCGCAATACTTCATAACTTTAATTTCTCGACAATGATGGTTAGTTTTACGAAGTTGAATAAGAATGCGTTTTAATTTATATATATTATAAAGTACACTAACCTACTTATCTAAAGTCGTAACGAAATTAAATATCAAAAGTACAAACATTTATTCACATTAGTCGAAAGTGAGGAAAAAAGATAGAGCCATTGGTGCTAATTCTGTTGTTCGAAAACTCTCTAAACTAAACTAAACATCACTAAAAAAAATTGTCCTGTCAAATAACGTTTCTGATTATGAAAATTCGTAGTACTTGACAGTTCTAAACTAAATTTTAGTGATTTTTAGTTTAGAAAGTTTTCGAACAACAGAATTAGATCCAATATTCCTTTATATGCCTACTCATAATCTTAATATTTAAAACAAATTCGGACTATAATAATCGGTTCATAAGTCAAGAATGGCCGGCTAGATTTTTATTATCTTTGTTTTGTTAGATGTGTCTCCATCACGAATAACAGAATAACTATAAACCTTAGTGGTTTTACAGTACCTTAAAAAACCAATGTTATGTTATGTATTCTTATTGTGTTAAATAAATTAAATAAAAACGTAAAAACAAATAAAAGTCACGAATTTTTTGTAAACAATATTCATTGTGTATGAAACAAAATGCATACAAAGAAGAGATCTTTGACTAAAATCGCAGATGCGAGGAACAGCTAGTTATAAAATGAAGTTGAAAACCTAGCCTTTGAGGTAGTTCTAACCAGAAAAGTTATGGGCAAGGAACATTTCATTGTCAAGACTACTTTATGACACTAGTAATATACATGTTTATGAATGTATACAGAGGTACTTATTTCTCGATAGTAAAACTATGTTACGAGTTTTTGAGTCATGACCGAGCTGTGCAACAATGCGATGCGATAATTGTGTGTTAAGTATTATTATCTGTGCCTTACGTGTACCAGGTGTTACATTTTAACGTTACAAATCGTTACGATTTTACACTATTATAGATTTTACTCTATTTACATAACTGTTTTGAGAGCATCTAAAGAGAATTGTACAATTTAAATAAAAAATTACTATCTTTTACACGACCATTTGATCCCAAACTAGACAGTTCTTGAAATATGGTAACCAGACTATTGATAAACATACTTATATATTTTTTGACGACCGGATAGCGTAGTGGTTTGTGTAACGGACTGCTATTCCAAAGGTCGCGGGTTCGATTCCCGCTCTAGTCAAACATTTGTGTGCATGAACATTTGATGTTTGATTTGGTCTGGGTGTTTCTATGTATAATATGTATGTATTTACAAAAAAAAAGTATATATGTATGTATATCAGTTGTCTAGTACCCATAGTACAAGCTCTACTTAGTTTGGGACTAGATGGCGTTGTGTGTATGTGGTAGAATATTCTTGTTATTATTATTATTATTTTTAAATACATACATATTATAGAAAAATAATACCCCGACACAGAACAAATGACGTGCTCATCACACAATTATTTGTCCTGGTTGAGAATCGAACCCACGACAACTGGCTTAGTAGCTAGAACAACAACAATCAAATAGTTTGTGGACCGTTGTTACGGTTCCGTCAATCTATGAATTGTGTCATATAATAATGAAGATTGCAAAAAATATGTTTTTCTAAAATCTGATTGATTTCGAAATGACTAAAAATGTGGTATACGGCTGGCACTTCTGACTAATAACAATTACTAGCACGAAAAGGTAACGGTACAATAACTTCCAGTACAGTATATTATCTATAGATTACCTGAAGACTGTCCGCTAGACAATGATTGTGGTACTGCAATAACTGTTTATTAGTACAAATGACTGATAAACTTTTTATCGTTAATAGATTATTAATCCAATTGATATCGTTTCTACACAGTTGCATTCGTATGACATACATTTGAAATATTCTTCAATAAACGATGTGTTTTTATTTTAAATTCGTTTGTATTGGCAAATTTCGTAAGAGCATTAAAATGGGGCACATGCCGTTCCCTAAAAGGCGTTGTAAAAAGCGATAAGTCCTAATGTACGAACATCTGTTTTTTAAACTGCGCTCGCGTACATTATTTATTCCTTTCCATGTTTGTACTTTATACTGCATAGGGGAGTTCTATTTTCGGTGTCTCCTAGTTTTTACAGAATTGCTATCATTAAGAAATGTTTCTGGTCTATAAACGTACGCTATAAAAGTCGTTAAACAGGTAGCCTTAATAAGCAAAAGAATGTTCATCAAAAAGTATATTTTACAACGCTGTTAATAAAAAAAAAACGTTTAATAACGCCAGAAACTATGGTTTTAGTACATTTTACACTGCATTTGCGTCCTGTTAAGGAAGAGTAGATTTTACAACGTAGTAACCTTCTTATTATGTTCAATGCTGTTACGCCGTCGTCAATAATTAAACAGTTATTTATTAGGTAACACAGCCAGTAGATAAAATGACACAATTCTTCAGAAATAGTCGTAACTAGTTATAAGTAATGAGTCTTGTTTGCTTAATATTGAGAAACTGAATTATTAGTAGGAACTACGTTTGCAACAAAGCCACTTTAGAATTTAGTATCACAAAATTTTAAACTCACCATTTCTTTCTTCAAGTAAGCTAGTTGTGAGTCCAGATCTGTTGGTTTGTCTGTTGGCGGTGAGGGTGAATCTTCAAGGTCAGGCTCACCGTCTGCGAAGCCACTTAAGCTTTTCGGTAAAGGTGGCAATCCTTGGAGGGACATGGTGCTGATAGCGCGGAACTGCTTACGAAGTCTGCCACCAAAACACACAAAATTATAATTCCTTATTTGACATTTATATTGAGCATTAACTATGAAGGTTATTTTAATATATAGTCATCATAAATAACTTTTGCAGTCAATCGTTTCAGTTCTGCAAATACAATTATGATGACCTAGAAATGGCAAGTTCTATTGGCGACTATCGAACAAAACCTGTTTTACTACAACCTTTTCAAACAAAACCTTAGTTGAACATATCGAAATTACGGAAGTTACATTCTTTTTAGTGATTTACGTATATGATATAAATATTTTTTTTTTAATTCTGCCAACCCACCTAGACTTAAGGTCATCATCGAGTATGTACGCGTAAGCCTGATCGTCAGTGTTTCCTTCATCTATGTTTCCGCAATCCGTGGTGCCACTAGTTACTGAGGACCTAGCATAGTTTTGTTCGGAATCCTCAGAGTCACAGTGTCCATTCGTGTCTCTATATTCTGGAGTCTCTAAACTTTCTGCTACGTTGGACTGCGAACGCATCGTCTGTAATTCATATATCAACATTTCGTGGTTGTTCATATCCTTCATCCTATCCATATCTATCTCTGACGGATCGTTGCCATTAGTCATCTTTTCAGAATCTTTACCTTTGTCGATAACAGTGTTTGTCTCGTCTTTGTTATTATTATTTCTACCGGCCAGTATTTCCGAAATTAACATTTCTGTTACACGCGATGTTTTTCTTTCCAAAGAGTTATTGTTTATATTTACATTTTCTTCCAGCTTAGTGTTGACTGGCTCTAGTGCAACCACTGGTTCTTGTTGTGTTTCGATACGTTTAGGGATTTTAGATGGGCTATTCCGTAATCTGTCATCAAAGTCTTCAACTTCCGCTACAGAGGCATATGGTGCTTCTGACACTGGACTATCTGGTTTCGCATCTAACGGGGATGAATACGGACTGACTTCTGGAGATGTTTTAGTATTGTGTGTGACATTTACAGGAATTTGAGGTAAATTTGAGCGCTCTACGGGACTTTTACGTGTAAATGAATTATTTACAGGTAAAGGCTTCATTGGTTTTAACTTAGGTTTTGGTGATAATGGTGGCGGAGGTGCTTTTCGTAAAGGCAGTGTCTTCTCGGCAAAACTAGAAGACTTTGTGACTTTACATTTTGCGTCTTGATCCAATTTGTTTGACGTTGAAAGCGACCTCACTAGTATCTGTCTACATGTTTTAACTGCTTTTGAATTAAGGGATTCATTTGATTTTTTGTTTGAGCCTGGTGTCGAGATGGAATTACTGTCACTGGAACTTCTTCTAGAATTTTGACCACTTGATTTTCTTTCATCTGATGACGAGCTCCGATCACTGATTACATCTCTGATAAATGATTTAACTCGTGCCAACCCATTTTGTTTTTGAGACACTGTTGATTCACTCACATTATTACTCCTATCCAAGGTTTTAGCTTTTGTATAACTATTTTCTTGTTTGGAAAAGGTACGATTCTTTGTAAAACTAGCCTTCGAATCCGCGACAGCCTTCCTTGTTTTTGCCAATGCCTCCGCCACCACGCTCTGATTAGGCCGCGGAGGCACAGGAGGGGGTCCTTTGATCTTGCTGTTCTTCATCGGTTGCGAGTTAGTTTGTACCATTAACATGCTTAAAGAAAGCGTCACTCGAACGATACTATAATATACGTGCTATAGTACAAAGAGCGCGTCACCACCAGCACCGCGTAAAACACACACGAGAGCGCTCCATTCGCGTTGCGATACGTCCGTTCCCGCGAGCGCGTGGCACTGACTGCCGGACGGACGCCGGTGATTGTACGTCGTACGACCACCGTCAGTGATTCCAGACCGGCATGGGCATACATATATACACTACACGACAACGTCGCACCTCCGATACTACGTTCTAGGCTTCCTAACCACTCGGACTTAATGATCATTCGTACCTTTTCAAAGTAGGTACCTACCTATTGCGTGTCAGTACTTTATGCAGTCAATACAGCAAAACAATGAGTTGACCCACACTTTTTAATAATGTAAAAGCGATTGTTTACTATGAGAATGAATTCATGCAATAGCGGCTACCGGTCCGCAGCGCACACGACATGGCTATTGTTGGTGATTTCGAAAGCACTCTCTGACCTATTGTTTTATGGCAATCAAAATGTTACAGTATTCTTAGTAAGTTGTTGGGTTGGAGGGGATACTCGATTCATTCATCTGCAAAGTATTTACATATTAATGTACAATTTTGATGTAATCGAATCTGAATATTAGAAACGTATTTCCATGATGTCAATGCCTAGTTCTGGACATAAAATCAATATACATATAATGCGAATATTTTTAAAATAAACGTAATATTATACTGTGTTAATTGGGTATATAGCTGTTTAGATCTGGGTAGCGACAATGAGATTACTATGAATAATATGAATAAAAGATTAAAAAACTCGATTTTGTAAATAGCCAATCTAAAAAGTAGTAAATTCTACTTTTAAAATTGGCGTTTTACTATCTTACTATTTAGTTCTGCTTTTTTAGTTCTTAATGGTGATTTTAGCATTAAAGTCTAAAAAGGTAACAAGTAAGTTAGTCACACATGCTTCAGTACACGCCTTAGTACTTGGTACAAGACACTACCGTGTTTTCAGATCATGGTTAATCCTGGGCGTCAATTTGGCTATTTTAATAGTGTATGAATTGACTGTCGATGGAATGTAGTCGAAGTAGTTTTGCACTTTTCGCATTACACTAACTATGTGAGGCCAATGGCCCGATGACTTGTCACTGAACTGCCATTGATACAAGTGTCGTTGATGTCTTTATAATATTGTGGTAAAGAGTACATTTTAATTTGCAAAGAAATGATATATTTAACTTGCCAGATATGGCAATGTCACCAGTGATGAGCCATTGTCACTACCTACAACCACAAAATTTATGTTAGTAGAATACCGATATTTTGACCGATGTCAATGGTATCCCAATAGCGTGTCAATGGAATGACAATGGTACAAGCCATTAAATAGTTAAGTAGCAATAAAATTGCAGAATTGAGGCCCTGATTAGGATAATCGAATAAACCCATAAAATTAATATATTGTCCTATGACAATATATTAATTTTATGGGTTTATTCATCACACATCACATCAACAGCCTTTAATAGTCCACTGCTGGACATAGGCCTCTCCTTAGAAAGTAGGTTTTAGGGTTTATTCGATTGTATTTTATAATCAATCGAAATTGATGAAATTTGATTGAACTGAAACTTCGCAACCCTTATAAAGGACCTATGTCCTTTATAAGGGTTGCGAAGTTTCAGTTCAATCCGACGTTTTGGAATGGGTGAAAACCACGTTCAATAATTCCGTTACATACATACAGGTGAAGTTCAGTTGAATAAAAAGTTTTAATACTTAGTGTTAGTAAAAACAAAACCAAATATTAGAATGTTTTGTACTGAACGAACAACAAAACTGAATAAGAACTATTATTATTATTGGGTATCGTTAAATTAATTAAATTTAATAATGTTTAAAATGATGACACGTTCGTTATTTTTTAAGTGTTCAAAATAATGACATGTAATAAATTACGTAACTCCATATGAGATCAAAAAATACAAAAGAAATATGATAAAACAAAGAATTTGCACACCTTTCACAATAGACGTAACAATCCATTTCATAATAGTTTATAGTAATAGTTAGTATAGTTTTTTGAATACAATGCAATGTTACAATTTTAATGAAAATGGATTCAAATAGTTGGGTCTTAAACTGTTTTAACAGGTGTACAATGTATTGAAACTGTTAACCAGTTCTAAGTTGCGTGGAAGAATTCCATAAATTTCGCTGATACAGATATGAGGAGATATAAAGCGCTGAGGCTTTCTGTCAACAGCTGATACCATTTATAGGTATGCAATCCATAACTACTAGAGCTTAATATATCCCATAATATCCCATTCCTACCATTCGATTTCACACCTCCACAACCCAAGTAAGTACTAGGTGATATCGAAGTACTGACTGAAAAACTGTTGTCGGACTTTTTAGGGCTCCTATTACCCCCTAGCAGAAGCAGGCCGGGGTGGCGGCGAGCTCGCTTCCAGGGAGCAGAGGGAACATGGGATTCCCACACGGAGGGGGGGGGGGGGGCGTCTACTCGTCTCTAGATGGCCTGAGATATGTCGGGGCACCAGGGACTTCCTTTCTAGGGTATACCTGGTTCCCCGGCTATAAGTACCCGAGACGGCGTACGGTTTTAGTCGGTTCGAGTCCGACATGCCACCGATAGGTGGTATCCGAGGGGATTTCCGCACGGAAAAAAAAAAAGGGCTCCAACTACCCGCAACGATTGCCACAGATGTTCGTATGGTACCCGGGACCGAAGGTTTAAGGTGTTCTCCGATGCATGGAAGGGAATCAACGTGTTAAGAATGGTCACCCATCCATAGACTAACCCGGCTAGGATTGCTTAACTTTGCAATGTATATACCTACTCGGTTACCAACTAGGCCATGAGCCCCTCCATCCTAATTAATCCATGCTTTTCTAAATAAATGAGTAAAAATAGCAAGTTAGGCACTGCTGAAATCAAAAAATAAAACAAAATCAGAGACACATTAAGCCACTGAAACTAGATATTGACTTCAGATGTTGAATTTTATGCATAACTAGCTGGTACCCCAACTTCGTTCGCATGGAATTTCAAAAGTGCTGCCTTAGTGGGTTCGATTCCGAGACCAGGCAAAATTTTATAAGGTTTTTCTCTGAGAAAAAATAGCCTAGTTTACAACTTATATGGACAGCTAACTAATGAACAGCTAATAATAAAATCACTAAAGCCGTTTAGAAGATTACCCGGAACTGACAGACAGACAATTCTTTTTAATCTGGGTTTTAGGCATAGATATCATGCAAATAAGCATGTAAGCATGACAAAAGCCTATTATTTTGATATTACAAACAGACACTTCAATTTTATTTATTTGTATAGATATACATGTACATAGGTAATGTGTAAATAATAACCTAACCAGGTTTCTAGGTAGAAATTACAAGGTTGTTATGTATTGCAACTCTTTTGTCATAATCCAAAAGCAGAATATCTAAATAAATTGTATCACATCATGACTGTAAAGCACTGCACAATTAGACTTGATTATTCAAAAAGAAGGAAAACTTGAGACAAACACTTTTTTTTTTTTTTTTTAACGTGTGGAAATCCCCTCGGACCGTCACCCCACCGGGGTTTGCGGCGGGGTGGTGTGTCCGACTCGGACCGACTAAAACCACACGGTGTGCCACTCTGCGCCTGTAATAGGAGAGATCCGGGAACAGCTGTTATTAAGACATCCGGACCCCTCCTAGCCCCTGCCCGCTCCTGGTGCGGGCTCCGTCTCAAAATTTTAACCTCTCTTTAGGCGACGTCCGGCACACGCGAACGCCGCCCCCTCGCGGCTGGCCAAACTAATGCGGGTGGAAGGGAAACCCACCCCGTCCACCCGCGGCCACACTCAGGGCGGCATGAGGCGGTGATAGGCGCGCCTCCGCCGCCCGGTTCGCCGGCGGCGGATCGGGTCCGAGTGGAGGTCGTCCTCCCGGGCCTTCTCCGCCGCCTCCTTCTGCGAGATTACTTCCTCGCAGAAGGTTGCAACCGCGGTAAAACAACTGTCGCTACCGGCCATGGAGCGTACTACGGCCGGTAGCGAGAGATCCACTCCGATGACTGCAGTGAGGGCCCGGCGCTGCGTCGCCCATGCGGGGCAGACCGCCAGCGTGTGCTGGGCCGAGTCCTCACTGCAGTCGCAGTGGTGGCAGGCGGGACTCAGTTCCCTCCTAGCGACCGAGTGCAGGTACTTTCCGAAGCAACCGTGCCCGGAAAGCACCTGCGTCAGCCGGAAGGTAAGGGTCCCGTGCTGCCGCCCTGCCCACTCGGCGATGACCGGCTGGAGAGCCTCCACGGCGGCGAAGCCAGCGCGTGGAGTCTCCAGCCGGAACGACCAACGAGCCATCGTGGCTTCGCGCCACTCGCGCACATCCTCGGGCGGAGGGCGAAATCCGCTCTCCGCCCGGGAGTCAGCCACTCGCCGATAAACTTCGGCGAGCACTTCCGCCTCCAAATCCCACGGGGGAGTTCCGGCCAACGCGCACGCCACCTCCGTCGACACGGTGCGGTAACCGCGTATGGCTCTGACCGCCATTACCCTCTCAGGGCGCCAGAGGCGTGCCCTATTCTGGGCGGTCAGAGCCGCCGCGCACACCGGTGCACCGTATAGTGCCATTGACCGGACAACCCCCGTGTACAGCCGTCTTGTCGCGACGCTGGGTGAACCCAAATTGGGCAAAAGTCGCCCTAGGGCAGACGCAACGCCGACCAGCTTTGTAGCAAGCTGTCGGAAGTGCTCGTCGAAGAGCCACCTCCCGTCGAGGATCAGGCCCAGATATTTCATCTGGGCCCGAACCGGTACGAGGACCGAGTTGACCACGATTGAGGCGCCAGGGGGTGGACCACGACGGGGCCCATAAAATAACAGGCCTCCGTCTTATCTAGGGCCACCCGTAAGCCCAGCGCCTCAATGCGCCTGACCACCAGGGAGACTCCCCTTGTGGTCAGGCGCGCCGCCTCTTGGAAGTTTGCCCCCCGGGCTGTCACCAGGGTATCGTCTGCGTAACAGATTACACCCAGCCCGGGGGGGAAATCGGCGCGAAGGGCCCAGTCGTACTATGTTCCACAAGAGGGGTCCAAGAACAGACCCCTGTGGAACACCGCACGACATGGGCCGACACCTCAAATTACCATCTCGGTCCTCGTACACGACGGTACGCTCCTCTACATAGTCTGCCACTAGCCGCCTCAGGTACTTTGGCACCCCATGATAGTGGAGTGCTTCCCTGATGCAGTTGAATGGCAGACTATTGAATGCGTTGGCTATGTCCAATGACACCGCTAACAGCACGCCGCCACAGCTCACAGCCTCTTCGGTCACGGCCCTCAGGCGCAAAATAGCGTCGACTGTCGAACGCCCCGCCCGAAAACCAAATTGGGAGTCCGACAGATCGGGGCCCACCTCGTAGAGGTGCCGGACGATGCGGGCAGAGAGAAACCTCTCAAACAATTTACCCGCCTCGTCCAGCAGCACGATGGGCCTGTAGGCCGCGACCGAATCGGCAGGCCGTCCCGGCTTCCTTAATAGGACCAGCTTCCCGCTCTTCCAGCACTCAGGGAAACGTCCCGACGCCAAGCTGGCGTCGAACACCTCCCCGAGGCGGTCTGCCATGTGGTTGAGGGCTAGGGCCAGCACTCGGGCCGGTACCCCGTCTGGCCCAGGGGCGGTGTTCTTGGAACGGATCCGTAGAACAGCTGCCCCTACCTCCGAATCCCGGACGGGCGGAACATCATCCTCCTCGTTCTCCCCGCCGTCTCCGGCCAAGGAGGCCATCGCCGGGAACTTGAGACAAACCCTATACCAACCCATCTGGCCAGCGTGGTGTAGTAGGCCAAAACCTCCTTTCTAAGGAGAGGCCATGTCCAGCAGTGGACTATTAAAGGCTGATGATGTGATGTGATGTGATGATGATAAAATTTTATAACAAACAAATTAATAGCTGAAGTTACATTAAATTAATTTACTATTGTGTGTGATTCAGGCAAGTCTACCACATCTTGGCACAGAGTGAGGCATATTGTATTCAAATAAAAAACACTATAAATTATTGTTAAATTAATATATTATGATGCTGTCAATAATGATAACTATAAATAATAAATCTTATCCTATAGTGTAGCGTTAGTTGTAGTATGTGGATATCTTTAAATTACATTTATATACAAAACATGCAATTCTGACCTAAGCCTGAAATCTCTATGGTTACCTTTTGATAATATGATCAAAATTGGTTTTTTAACAACTCATTCTTACTCATGTATTTATGGTATACTAGCTAGTACCATCGACCTTGTCTGCATGGCATTTGAGAAGCGCTGTCTTATAGGGTTTGATTCCCAGACCAGGCAAAATTTTATAGGGTTTTTCTAAGGAAAAATGGCTACCTGGTAGTAAAATATTTTTAAAGTCGATGCAGACGTTCAGAAGGCTACCCGGAACAAACAGACAGACAGACAGAAAAAAAAAACTGGTTCTTAGGCATAGATATTGTGTAAATAACTGTGTGATCATGAAAAAACCTATTATTTTGACATTTAAACAGACACTTCATTTTTATTTTTTTGTATACATGACAAAAGAGCAGTCGGGTCACCTGATGGTAAGTGACTACCGCCACCCATGGACAACTGCAACTTGAAATGGTAAAAGATAATGAAAGAATTAGCTTAACATCAGTTTTTTCTGTTAGGCCGTGGTATCATTTTGGTGCCGACGCATGGCTCTCCCACGGCAAAATAATAGTCTTAATAAAGTCCTTAATAAAACACACTTCGACGTAATGAAAAAAGAAGTACTACATACTTTATTTGTTATTGAACTTCCAATCTTGTCTGCACATAGGGCACTGCTGTTGTGGTTGGGAATGAAGCCACTTGACTATACAGTGGATGTGGAAGCAATGTGAGCAGGCCCCCCACACCAATGGGCAATCGTCTCCAGGTAACTTGCAGTCTGGGCAACAGCTGTCGAAGGGCATACGACAAATGCCACAATTGTCGTCGTTTGCTACCCAACGCCAAGTCGCTACGCCCGTCCAACCTTGAAGATTAAAATTTGTGTGTAATTTTTGCTCAAAATATAAACACTGACATAACCGGAGATAACCGACTTACTCTTAACGGTAACTTTCATATCATAAAATTAACATTTATACTATAGGAAACATAAATACTTTTTGTATGATACTAATTTATCGCAAGTAGATACTAGAACTTAAATTAACTTTATTAAATTCGTATATAAACATGAACGAATTATCTGATATTCTGTGTCTAATATCGATCTTTGTTGACATTGTTTTGTTTTTTAATTTTTTCCACAATGGCTATATTTAACGGCACTGCACAGCAACCTTTTGGCTTTCAAAGTAGTTAAAGTAAAAGTAAAATAATTGTTGATTATGATGTCAGATGTAACACAAATAATGATAAAATAAATTGTAGTTAAACTACAATTTATTTTTTAAAAATTAAATTGTGGGTCAGAAGTACCTACCGACAAACTCCGTCATCCAAATTGCGTAGAACTTGAATTTGACGTAGATTTTGTAATGTGGCAAGTATTTAGTAAGAATGTCACTGAATCTGAATTCTTCACTCTACTCTCTACCTACTCTATGATTCATCTTTGTGTATTTGACAGTGTGTGATGTGTTGGAGTTTATTTATTTTATCCTGATTCTTATTGTAATAAAATACTGCAAAGTTGTAATTAAGTATGACTTCGTTTGATACGAAATACGACGTAAGTTGCATATCATTAAATGTCATACCCATGATTCACCTAAAATAATAATGATAGAGCTCAATTCTCATTAAATTATGATTATTACTCCTCAAAACCATTACTACTGGAAATTTGCGTTAAGTAAAAGTAATTTAAAAGAAAATTTTGAGATGCTGCTTTTTGTAGTATTTATTAATGTTTATGTGCCATTTTAATACCTATTTTTTTCATACATACCACTATCTTATCAAGTAAAAACATGTTTGATGTTGAGGTAAAAAATTGGATCACTTATTATATTTTCTTGTTTTAGATGTACCCAGCTGGGGATGTGGGAGTGATAGAAGGTGAAATGAACATACCAACAAGGGGTGGGCCCTCAGGAGACAGTATGGAATTTAATACACTTGATGAACCCATCAAGGAGACATTTGTAAGTCATTAGTAAACTCTATGGGTACAAAATCTAATATAATACTAAAGTAGTAGGCAACATAACTTTATTTTTTTTCTATCATTTTATAAATAAATTTTTATTTACTTTAAACAACAGTTTGTGCTTTCTTAGTTAGTCAACTGGCTTCAATCATTTCAATCCAACCCTGCCTCCATTATATTGAAAGACTTGCATTGGTCTTGACTTCGTCACTTTGGCAAAATGACATAGTGAAAAATTTAGTCACTTGCAAAATGTCACTTTCGCAAAATGTGATTTTGTTGTTTGCATACAATATTGAAAAATCAAACACTAGACCTCTAAAACCAAGTGAAAATTATTAAAATTAGTAATATTACATAAATGTCTAAAATATAAAAATGTTTTTGGATGTCTTCAGCTGAACATCACAGTAATAGATGTCAACAATTAAATGGTGGACTTCAAAACAAAATATGTTCATATTCAAATATGAACATATTTTGTTTTAATTCAGCAGTCTCATGTAAATTGTGCACAGCTGTTTTAAAATGAAACAGTAATAACATAATCTTTACATACAACATGTAACGTAAAATAACCTTGAAACATTAAGAAGAATGCATATGCAAACTGTAAAGGCATTGGGACTTGCGAATGCAAGTGCCCATGAGCGATGGAAGCCACGAGAAAAGACCCGTCTGGTCATTTGCCTGATATATTTAAAAAAAATTTAGAAATACATTCTAGAATGTATTATGCCCTTAGAAAATATATTAATCTTGTTTAAATATTCAAGTGCATGTTATTATACCTATGCATGTCCTTTATTATGTTTTAGATGCGAGATCTGAGGGCGGTTGGCAATAAGTTTTATCACGTACTAATCCCGAGAGAAAAGACAAGTTTGTTAAAAGAATGTGAGTGAATTTGTACTTTCTTCACAACAAGGAATAATTGTTTTAAAATAATACTTATATAATTGTTTTTTTTTTATATATTTATTTACATTAGATATATATTATATTATATATATATACATTTTATATATAATTGTGTATTTTGACTTTTTATTTGCAATTGCCAACTGATATACCCATTAATACTAACCACAATAGAGAAAAAAATATTAAGTAGCAAGAGAAAGTAGTAATAGATATATATTATGTTTATTCCAATTCAGACATGTTTTTGGCTTAGACACAAGTTGGGTAGTAGGAGTAGTTTTTTAATATTGTTAATAACTAGTGGTGGTCTCTTTGAAGTCAAAAATCGATTGATTGATCCATTATTAAACCTCTTTTAAAGCTAGCAAAGGTTTTTAATGGCTACTAAAAAAATATAATCAATATTGTTTGTTGAATATATTAGAATGGAAATAGATACTGAACTTTTAGATATGGATCACCGAAATCCATTTTTTTTAAGTTTTTGGAACGAAGTTCCTTATCGCGCGTTGTGAAAGGGGGCTAGACGGAAAAAATTCGTACGAAAATTTGGAACGACACTTTTTTATTAATATAAATTGACGTCTAACTGTGGATACCATACATTAAATTTGCTTTAACGTTCGCCAACGTCCATACCATGTTGAATACACCGGTTCTCGTCCGATCACCAAAGTTAAGCAACATCGGGCGTGGTTAGTACTTGGATGGGTGACCGCCTGGGAATACCACGTGATGTTGGCTTTTTGCTCTTTATTTTCGTGTCATCTTGTCAGACATTCAGCGCCATCTATCGAATAGATAGGAAATCATTTCGCAAGGAGATTTTACCAATGTATAAATTGTTTTAATTGTTTTTAATATGTAGGTAATAGCCGCTTTCATAGATGGCGTTGTAATTAAAATCGTGTCAAATCAGTTTTACTCGATCGTCACAACTTCGTTCCTATCGGGTGTCCCACGACACCACACGGCTTTTTTTTTGTTGTCTTAATTCATGTATAATTTATTCATAATGTCATTATCAACATTTTTTTTAAGGTTTACTAACAACCAAAATTACAAGTCTTCCGGTTAACCCCTCCAGCTAAGCTAAACTGCTTGTGTTAGGAGTGGGTTCACGTCGGTAGTGTACTGGTCAGGATTCGAACCCACGACCTCTTGATCGCAAGTCCAATGCCTTAACCACAAGGCTACCGCCGCTTTAAAAAAAACCATGTAGAGTTGTACATTCTGTTGGTATTGAATTATTGATATGTCATATCAATATACCACCTTTATCAATGAAAGTGAAATAAGTATTTTCCATTAACAGAAAAGATAACTGTATTACTACCGTGATATAGTTTGCTTTGATTATTACTTCCTCTTTTACATTTTCTTTTCACTAAAGTTATGTTACTTCATTCAGGAACTTAGAGGCTTTATTGCTTAATATAGTTATGTATAGAAAAAATAAAAACATTAACGATTAGATAGCTGTTCAATAATTGTTGCTTTGATTATGTTTTAACTAATTAAATAATTGTAATATTTTGAAACCTTTATTCTTTTTTTATTATTTGTAGTAATTATGAATATGTGAAAATTAATGCTATCGACTAAACCAATTCCCAACCTGACATTCGTCAGATGGTTGGTTGTTTGTCTATTATATGAATCCAATTAATGAAGAACTTGAAACCAGTGCTTGATTTATCAGTGTCTGGACACTGTTACAGCAAATTTTAACTGTAACTTAATTTTTTCCATTTTTCTCTTCAATTGAATTATTTTGTTTGTAGATATAATACCTTTTTTGCGTAATAAATAATATAAGTAAAGGCATTAAAAAAAATTAAACTGTCATCTAGTAATTTAATATAAAGCTGCATAAAAAGTAAGGAATTAATATTTTGGACTGACTAAGTTTTATAACCGTTTGGTTACAGTATCCTCTCATCACAGTATCATCTCTATCTAAATAAAAAAGTAGGTTTTAATATATAATTTATTTAAGTGTTTTCGGCATCTACATTATTTTAATTAAAAAAAAAGAACATTCACCTCGGACGATACTAGAGAACGTGAGGATCTCGTTTTTATTCTATTTCAAAAAATAAATTAGAAACCAAACATCTGTATAAATAAATGAAATCGAAGTGTCCGTTTGTAATATCAAAATAAGAGCTATTTACTAAGTGCATAATAATACAGTAGGTATATCTTGTACTTATAACTAATTAATATTTTTTGAGTTTTATCTGTTTTCAGAATAATCTTGAAAATGGGTAGACTGATTTTGTACTGTCGGTGGTTTAATTGGAACTTTTATTTTAGAATAAGTATACACATTTAATATGCGCTCTATCGTTATAAAAACCAATAATAGGTTTTAACTATTCGTCACATTTTGTTTTTACATTGCGACAAACGCGCAAGCGAAGTTACGGGCGTTGGTAGTTAAAACTAAGTGACTCATTCACATATATTTGATCTTTCTTCAGAAAAAGTTAATTAATAACTTCAGATGTTTAATTTTGTGCAATAATGTCAAAAAACATCCTAGTTTTTTTATCATTTTGTCGAAGAACATTTGAACTCACTTATAAAATATGACGCAGTAAATGAACTAGATTAAAAATAAAATAACTGTTTCCGCTATTAAGATATGATATGATGATTAATCGAGTTTATGTACTTATATAGTGTGCTATAGATTCGCAACACACACACACACACACGCAAAGTAAGTGTTTCTGAACAGACACTAATTGTTTTTGGTCTGTATATAGAGAAAAATGTATGATCTTGTGATACTTACAGTTTCACTAGATCTCGCTAAGAAATTACTAATTTTAATAAGTTCAAAAAAATATAAGTTGTCTCTGTTATATTAGACAGCACTATTATAATGTTATGCCATAGAATTAAATGGTTTGATTATTCCAAAATGAATAAAATGCGCAGGACAGCGTCATCTAGTATCGAGTAAAGTACAACTATTGAGATTGCGATTAATTATTCTGATTCTTATAGCGCTAGATGGCGCTGCAAGTAACGCATAACTGGAATATTCTTTTTTGTCCGGAACGGACTATCGAACACTAGGGATCATTCTAGTAAATTCTATAGCGCTATAAAGGAGCGTGTTGGCTGTACGACACAGTATCGTTTTACGACACAGCGAATTAACATCGAATCGCATTTCTAGTGCGACTATCAAGTATATAGTGATTTCTTCTTTGTAAAAGTGAGTGTTTGTAATTACAGTGCAATAAAAGTAATTAACCGACAACTTTTACAACAATAATATATAATTACCTACTACCTTTTAATCGAAAATCTATTTTTCAGACTTCTAATTTTAAAAAAAATGATTTTTTGAAAAAAACTTAAAATAATGTATATTTTTATGTACAATTTCAGTATAAGGAATTTTTCAAACGAAATTGTCATTTTCATATTGCCAGGGGATCTGTGGGGCCCTCTCCTGCTCTGCACACTGATGGCCACGATCCTGCAAGGCACAGAGAGAGCCGACAACTCCAACGACGGTGGCCCTGAATTCGCAGAAGTCTTCGTTCTAGTCTGGATAGGAGCTGCCATTGTCACATTAAATTCTAAACTACTGGGTGGAAATATGTAAGTGTTTTTGTACTTACTATTTGCAATGCGATCAGTATAAAAAGGGAAGTTGATAAGAATGAGTTATCTGAAATCCACTTTTATAATAACTCGTTTTAATGTATAAAGCACTTAAATGTTTATATTTAAAAACGTTTATTTAAGCATCAAGTAACATCATTTTATTTGTACAAATATCAAATGTAAACTTTTTATACAGAGTTTCTAGGATCTATAAAGAGAGACTAACAAGATATTTTAAACTTTAGCTCTTGATATTTAAGTTTCTGATTGAAACATTTAAAATAGTGACTAGTCACTACAATGTGAAAGACATCGGAAACCTCTATAGCATGAATTCGAATATCTAATTGAGAGGGCACCCATTGAAGCCAACAGGTCTCCGTCCGTTAGCAACCCTAGAAGACAATTTCTTCCATTGGCGTGGTGACCATTTGTCATAGTATACCGGAAGTGTAATTAGTGCTGGATCAGTGAACATTTTTAAAAAGAGACTAGACGAACTTTTAAAAACAACAAAACAAACACAAGTGCAGTGATATGCACGCATCAAATGTATTATCTAGTAGTGCATTAAAGAATAATAATATATTTTTTTATCTTTTTTTTTCTTTTGTAATACATTTGATTTTTTTTTCTTTCCGTCCATAGTATGTGTGTGTACAAGTTTATAAATAAAGTGGAGCGTGTATTTTTTCATTGATTACATGTCATAATATGTAACCTACGTTATAAGATTTCTACACCACCCAAAGGTTGACTGGAAGAGAATGCCTTGGGCATTAAGTCCGCCATGTACAAAAGTGCATAAAGTTTAAAATAAAAATAAAATAAACTAATTTGAAGCCCTCGCCAGAATTAAGACCCTCAGGAAACGTCACTCACTCTGTGCAATGCCACAAAATAATAACTTGACACCGGGTTTTTGGTGAGACCGTGGTATCACTCCGGTCCAACTGGTATGGATGTGCAGGGAAGCATAGATCTGCTACGGTTACCTACACCTTTTTTTGTTACATCATCAACAGCCTTTAATAGTCCACTGCCGGACATAGCCTCTACTTTTAAAGGAGGTTTTGGCCTACCGTACCGTGGACAGACGTATTGGTATAAGGTTTGTGTCAAGTTTTCCCATCCCTTTGCAGTGCTGTTGTCTTGCGTAGTTTGCTCCCTTAGTCGGCTCATACGTCACTACACGGATAATGTACACGGACGTTTTGTTACATACATATACGTGACCATAACATTCAAAATTCAAGGCACATATTATTACAAAATTAAAAAGAATTATGAAAATCGGTCTGCAATTAACGGATTAATCGGTCAACAGATATAAATCAAAAACATACACTGGAACATGAAACCTCCTTTATTGAAGTTGGTTAAAAAGCTTGTTTAGAATCTTTTATATGTAAAGGACATCTAGAATTGTACGAGTAACTAAAGTTTTTTTTTTTTAATTTCAGCTCGTTCTTCCAGTCAGTATGTGTCTTGGGCTACTGTATGTTCCCAATTGCCCTCTCCTTGGTGATTTGCCGCATCATACTGTTCAGCACACAAACCACATTCCTATTTTTCTTGAGACTCGTTATATCTATGTCGGGCTTCGTGTGGGCCACGTTTGGTGAGTACTTTAAGCATTGCTATTTCTTAAAGATATTATGATGTGTTTGACAAAGCTGTATCTCTTTTTTGCCTACTACCTACAACCAGTGGAAGATTAGAAGAAAAAGAAAAGTTAAATCTGCCCCACATAATATATATTGTAAATTATATAGTATAATATATAGGGGTAAATCAATAAGATCTCAATGTGACTATTGTGTTTCTGTAAGTGTTACGCGAAATTAATATGATTTGTGAACAGAGATCAATACCATGTTTTAAATTGATTCGCTTAGTATTGATCCCACTTGAATGTAAAGAAAATAATTCATCTCTGAGAATGGAACATTAGGGTATTTTGATTTATGGAATATTAGGGTTGTTGATCTAGTTTTAAAATCCATTATACAAAGTGATTATATCATTCATTTATACACTCATATCTACCTTCTATATATCCGAAGGGGTAAACAGAACTGTATTCAAGGTCCTAGCTCGTTTTTCAGTCCCACTTACTTTACGTACAGCCTCTCGTCAGCCCTCTATGGGTAAGCTTATTTTCGAACTAGTGAAAATTGAATACAATTTGCCTAAAAACGCAATTTAAACACGGTTATTGTTGTTTTTGTTTTATTGATTCATAAAAGTATGTTAATAATTATGGAGACATATTAAAATAAATTATAATAATTTTAAAACACGGCTATTAAAACTAAACTCATAATTCAGAAGACAGCTATTGCAACAATCACACAACCACCACACACTAGTGGATATGTGGATGTGTTGCGCTTTTTTAAATAAAACATATTTGCAACAGTTTTTGAATAGCAGTGACTATGTAACTGTCATTGTCGTTAATTTATGATCAGAAACGATTTTTTTATTTACATAGTAATTATTGACGTAGTATAATACTTATATGGTTTATATTGTTTCAGCTGCAACAAAGTTCCTGGGCGATAGCCAGCCTGACGGCAAAAAGGCTTTGGCCGTTTACCCAATATGCCTGTTCTACTTCATACTGTCATGGCTGGTCGTGTCGCACAGTAACGTCTAAACTCGTACTGGTTACAGTGTATTTATTATTGTGATACAACAGACTATTTAGTGTAATTTGTGAATATATGTTAGTTAAGTGGATCACTCTTGACTGTAAATTATTATATCACATGTGTTATTACTATTATTTATCAAACGAATAAAACTTCATATTGACTATGGGAAAATTTGTTGTAAAATAATGATTTTAATTGATGAGTCTATGCTTTTAGAAGCTTGTGCCATAAATATTTAAAAAAATATTGTTTAGGGTTCACATTCCTTGAATCCGTGTTGTTTTAGGCAAGATGTTCTTTTTTGGAATTGCTGATGGTTTAGGATATAATTTCATTACGTTTTCATTGATAGAAATCCCTTCTTGACTCACTAACTTCTAATATAGTTATGTATATAAGCGAAAATAAATGCGACCACTTAATATGTATTAACTTTCGGACAGTCAGCCTATGACCACAGCCAGTGCAATCAGAGGGTCGTGGGCAACTTTATTTCACATCAACTCACTATCGACGGTGAAAGCGTTTGGCATTGTGATTGGTGAAGATTTAAGTGCGGTCCAATCGCAGTGTGACGATCGAGTAAATGTGAAATAAACTCACACTCGGGCCTCTGGTCGAAAAGTCAGGCATTTTCAGGGTATTTAAAATCTGTTACATGATCGCGTTAAGTAAGGTATATATACATAATTATATACCCTTCTTCTCTGTTTTTAAATGAGATAACTTTAGGTATCCATATAATTATCTAGCACTTTTATGCTTTACTTATGTCATACATCTTGTTAGACATTTGGTCGTTATTTTTTTAAATTAATTTACAAATATTTTGCTATCCCCATAGAATATACTTACGTACAATCACGCCTATATATCAAAAAGGGATCGCTGTAGGGTATTAAAGGCACATTTTGTAAACATAATTTTATTTGCACTAACGTAATACAGAACGTACATTGCAGAACATTTTGCCATCAACCAGATACTTTAGGAGTTAGATGGGAAAATTGAGAGTATTATTGTAAGGACAGGTAGGTAAGGAGGAATGGACAATGATAGAAAAATGATATTGCTTCATCATCATCATCTTTTTTGTTACATCATCATCATCAACAGCCTTTAAAAGTTCAGTGAACTTTTAAATGTTGCTGATTGGCTGTTGATGATTTGTCCAGTTTGTCAAGCAGTGGCAAACTGGCCAGTCGGGTTGGTATAGGGTTTGTGTCAACTTTTCCTTCTCTTTGTAGTGCTGTTTTCCTGCGTAGTTTGCTCCCTCAGTCGGCTCTTACGACACCAACGGGTTAAATAAGGGTCGTGACACTCCGTATTCCTAATCCGTCACTGTCAAAATTGCTTTAATGACAGTTGCGCGATCGAGAGTTGATCTGAACTGAATGTCGACTGAACTTTTATTACAAGAATTGGGAATCTGAAGGAGATTGCATACATCATCATCTGCCTACCCTTTTCCCAATTTTATTTGGGGTCGGCGCAGTATGTATGATTTTTCCATTCTACTCTGTCATGCGTCATCTCACTGTTTACTCCCTTCCTAGCCATATCCTCCCAGACGCAGTCCATCCACCTCTTCTTCGGTCTGCCTCTTCTCTTGTACTCTTCAACTCTCATACCTAAAACTTTCTTCGCCACATTTTCCTCATCCCTCCGCATGACATGTCCATACCAAGATAACCTATTACTTCTTAACTTTTCATCCAGTGGCGCTACTTTCAGACTCCCTCGTATATACTCATTCCTAACCTTGGCCATCTGAGTCACACCACACATCCATCTCAGCATTCGCATTTCGGCCACGTTCAGGCGTCCCTCATCCGTTCTCTTAATGGGCCAACTTTCAGAGCCATACAGTACGGCAGGTCTGATAATAGTTTTATAGATTGCATACATATAAAAGTAAATATGTTAATACTTTAAATGCATAGTAAATAATCTAATCTCTTCCATTATATTTGGCTACATTTTCTGTATTTAGAAGTAATGAATATATTCTATTCAATCCTTTTAAAAACATTCCCAAAGCATCCTTCACTCATGGTCTGAAATATTAATAACCATTATTCAACTGTGTATCGACTGCACGAATGACTTAGTGCTTTAAGCGTTCACCTCGCCGTTTCCTACTGCGTAGGGTTGTAGGTTCTATCCCCACATGGGATAACACTTTGTGTGATCCACAAATTGTTGTTTTAAGTCACAGCCACAAATTGGTGTTATGTGCGACACAGGACATATCCTAATGCGAGATTAGTCTTTAAATAAAATAAAAAAATATCTATTCTAAAGTGTCGTCAAATTCAAATTACGTTATAGTCATCCATTTTAATTTCAAACAAATGTTTTCCCAATCAATATGAGGCTAAAAAAACTTTGTTACACACAATTTTCTATGGCACATTATAAACATTCCATTGTAGCCGTGAGTTAAGATTGTAGATCATTTTTGTATATATTATCAATTAAAAAGCTATTTTCCTTCTTATGTAAATTTTATTGAAATCCTTGACATATCAATATGCATATAACAACATAGTTGAAATTCCGATGCTCAGTGCTTTGTGAATGAGACTCTTTGTTTAGCCGTGTCCAACTACATATACAACCAACTAATAAGTATATTTACAAGAAAAATATGCCAAAAATAATAATATTAATAATAACCTCACACACGGCTGTCTGTTCCCAAACAAGGCACCGGTAACCAGACTGCTGATAAACACACTTTTATATTTCTAAACATACATATTATATATACCCAGACACAGAACAAATAATCGTGCTTACAATTATTTGTCGTGGGAGGGAATCGAAGCCACGACCTCCGGTCCGTCAAATTAATAGTATTACTATTTATAGTATCCAGTAGTTGTACTACCATTAATTGGCAGTACGACTACTGTACATCTTACAGTCTAAGGATTGCAAAAGAAAGTCATTCCATAATAGAATCACGTGTAATATTTATTATTAAAAATATTATGACTTTATAAATTGAAATTTTAATGTTAAAAATGGAATATTACGTAAGCAAATATATAGATGTCACAATAAAATTGACGTAATAATATTTACAGTAGAAACTTTTTATGCAGTTATACCTGCATTTACGGGCTTCGTAGCGTGAAGTTACAGAGCCTTTTCTCACTTCAATAAATACTCTTCCCAAAGCAAGAAGAATAAAAAAAACTGACTTAGTTTCAGAGATGAACGCTTTAAACCATTTTAGAAAAATATATATGAAATTGCATTTCTTTGATTTTTTTTTTAAATTATAAAGTACCATAAAATATAAATCCGGTAATACTCTTATACAATAAATAGTTGTCTTTCTTAATACAGAAATGTTTTGTATATAATTCCTGATTTAATCTACATACATTTATAATGATAAACTAACACTAATTATCACATAAAACAGACATGTCAGTATCACACGAAGTTTACAACAGTTAACACAAACACATTGAATGTGAAGTGAAGACGACAATCTATGACATTACATTAATAAGATTTAAAAAATCAAAATGTCAAATGAGATTATTAACATAGGTAATTTATACAAAATAATATATGTACTATTCAGTCATTTTTTATGGTATGAAGCTATTTGTTTATAAAACTGACATAATATTTCGAGTCGAGTCGCAAAGTCAGTCAGCCTTCACTATTCTTTTAAAATATTCATACAGTTCAAAATTCTAAGAATCATATAGTTAGCCAAGACGGAAATTAGGTTTACTTAAACTTGCATTCAATCATAATTTATTTATGTTTAGTTAAAACACCACATGGTTAGTACAAATTATTAACACTTTATGAGTACAAATAAAATATCTAAACAAATGTCAAATCTATATTCTTAATTACTTTAAAGCTTTAGGAACAATAATATAATTTTTATTTTAAATACTGACCTATGTTTGATTTCAAAAGAAATAAGAAATAATTTCAATAGGAATAATACATTTAGTAATAAAGTTGGACTCAGACAAAGGTTTACGATAAGATCTTTACAATAAACGATATCTGAGATACTCAAAAATAGATTCTCAAAAGCTTTACTTATTAAACAAATATGATATATGAAATCAAAAGCGTTGTCAAGTCGATAAATTACGAAATAACGATTATCTCATATCATCAATCTACTTTAATATGTTATTAAATAAAACGATATCCATTTGTTCTTAAATTACATTTAAGTGGAATTTAACAACAAATTGATTGGTGATTATTCGTTCTTTTTACTTACGTTCCATTGTCCGCAACACAAAAATCTTCAGAAGTTTAAATAATCTCTTAAAATAAACTGAAATATTTAACATTCTGTCATTATAATTATATGGTAAGTAAATTATCAACAAAGAATTATATTTCTGTAGGAGAATGACGACGTAAAAATTAAGGATTAAAAAGAACGTATATTCACCGAGTTACCTTACACGTCAAAACACGCTTTGTGGATTAAAAGTATTGTCATCGAAACATATTTTTTTTAAAAACATTTTAATTTATAAAAAATGAAATTAACTAGATTCCGACCCACTAGACACTTTGTCTGGTGTACGAGGAGGCGTGTTTCTCGGCGAAGTTTTCGTAGGCATTTGATATGACATATGCAGCTGTATGGAGTCCTTAGCTTTTCGGGCGTTTTTGTACGTAAGCGAATTGGCCCTTGGTTTGCGTCGGGAAAAATGTCGCTCAACCCATTTCAGCATCGCTAACACTGAATCTGTAGATGACAGACGACGTTCGGCTGACGTTTTGATTATAGATGATGACGCAATCCGGAAAGTGGCAGCCATACCTTTTAGAGCCTGTATTTCAACACAATACGTGTTAAAATATATTTCAAGTATTCTAGAATGCAGATTAAGCAATGGTACGATAATACTTAGTACCAAAAAAAGGGAGCCCTAAGACAATCAGAATATATAGACCACGATAGTTTTAATCTATACTCACCAACATAGCGTCTTCATCTGTAAGATCATCACCAGCATAGATGATTCTGATCCTCTCGCTCCAATCTAAGCCAAATGCTGTTCTCAAGATGTAGATGGAGGCTCGACCTGCGGCATATTAATATACGTCTAATAATAACTTTCATATTTTTTTTAACAACTCCCGTATTAAGAATGTGTCCTGTGGCGCGGGGGACTTTACAAACATACATGAAATGGACACAAAGAACACCCAGACTCAGAACAACAATTTTTGGATCACACAAAGTGTCGTCCGATGTGGGGATCGAACCCATAACACTCAGCGTAGTAGGAAGCGGCGTGGCGACCGCTTAAACCCCTACGCCATCCGTGTAGTCAAAAATATCTACCTACTCAAAACAAAATAGGAGTACTTATACATAAAAGAAAATAAATGTTTGACAAAATTTATATTTACTGGTTCTACCTATTGCATATCAAAACACGGTATACTATTGAGTAATCATCGTAAACAACCTTTAAATAGTCTGCTGGCCTACTATATCAAGCTGGTGACACTCCGTATTCTTAATCCGTCACCACATGAAAAATACTCAAGTAATACTTATATTTATAGAAAATGTCTTCAATGAAGGACTCGAAGAAATAATCGAAACAATTAGAGAGATATGGAAGGAGGCTCCTTATAAATCGCTGTTATGGTCATTAACCATATAGTGTCTCAGAACTAACGTTATTTAAGAATAGCTTGTACTCATGGCTTAATATTGCTGAACCGCTCGGTGTCAAAGTCAATTTTCAAAGAAGTAAATTGGCAAGCCACGCTGTTCATACCTTTATCCCATTCCACCGGTGGTCTCGCTTCCAACGCACAATGCGCGGGCGCAGGCGTCAACCCCGCCTCGATGATAAGTTTAGTGGCTTGTTCTATCAATGCTGGCCGAAGGTAAACTGGAGTTTCACGGTAGTGGAAAGTAAGTAAAGAACCCTTGTTCTCAACCCAAGCACCGTCTTTACATACCTACACAGCAAAAAAAAACATCAAAATAAACTACTTAAGAAATAGATTTACAGCATTTATGTGAGTACTAAATAGTCATTTCCGATTTTATTTGGTGTCGGCGCGGCAATGTATAACAGTGCAAAAGGTTTCGACCTGTTTCTTTTATCTTTTAAAGAAACTGTTCAAAACCGCCGCCAAAAGAGATCGCCGTAAGCGATAAGACCGCCGATTGTTGAGTCTACATATTTGTAAGCCATCTTTATTTATGTGTTAACTGTATACAATAAAGATATAAATAAATAAATAACGTCAACCCTCCTTGGGAATTAAAATCATTCTCAGATGGGACAAAGAAAAATGTAACCGCATAGAGATCTAAGGTAAGGAATACCACAGGTCTCGTATAGGGAGTTTTGAGTTTGGGTGTTTGAGTTTGCTACAGTTGGGAGATGTGGCATACCCATATGTCCGTACTGCAGAGGACACTAAAATAGGTAAATAATTTAGTGGCCATTACAAAAAACTTCAACAAATTAAGATTCCACGAACATGTTATAGAAGACAAGAAATTGTCCGGATTCTTGTTTTGTTGTATGTGTAACATACATGTATAAAATTTAAACTTATTTCCTTATATTTGTCATGAACAGTATTGTTGTATACTCAGTAAAATAAAAATTATAAGTTATACTATCTAAAAGTAATAATAGTTTTCTGTTTTACCTTTTCTTGCAGCGACTTCAAAAGAATGACTACTGATTCTTGCAGCTCTGTAGGCATAGGATGTACAAACTTGCTGCCATCAGGGTGAAGGATCTCCAGACCGTGATTACCCGCGTAAGTGATACCTTCAATGCCAACCTAAAAATAGAATGCCTTATTGAAGTATTGATATAATTCACTCAAAGATATATCTACTCGTTCCTTTGTTTGTATTTCTCCTGTAGATACCTATGTATTGAGAGTTCATCAGTCATGGTCAATCGATACGAATGTACCTACTAAAGTGATAAGAAGTAATTTGTTATTGTTTGATATATCACCAGGAAATAGTAAAAAATATACTCCATATGTACAATTAAGTCATATGTACTTCAGATGTGATTAATATTATAGGTATCGACAGTAGATAACTACGTTTATTTTGTATATGAATGTATGTATATATACTTATATTTAGTATGCTGATACGAGTAAAGAAATAAGATATAGGATAGGGCTTTATTAGGCACGGTGGCGATTCGGGGAGGTTCTGAAAGAACATGGTCCGCTTCTCCTCGGAGTACCGGCCGTCGAGGTGGTTTTTTAGTGGAAACACCACATACTCCTGGCTTCTGCGTGACCTGCGTCCCCGTCAACAAAAAAAAACCTACAACTGAAGCTCTACCTACTTACTTGGTTGCCAGATCTCGAAAAAATGCCGGCCAAGTGCGTTTCGAGCCCCGTATAGTGTAGGTTTCCTTACTTTTTTACTAACCATTTTAATCAATTAACAATGTACACGTAAATTCGAAACGAAAATTGTTTTAACTTCAACTTCAAATTTCACGAAGCGCTATACAGCGAATTTTGACAAAAAACACCACCTTCATGCGTACAAGATTCATCTAACTTAGGAGCTCAAGCAATTCATTCAATGGGTAATGGAGCAAAGTGAAGTCGTTGCGAATTTTTCGAAAAAGTCAAGTCTTCTCCGATGAAGCTTATTTCCATTGAATGGCTACGTTAATACACAAAATTGTCGAATTCGGGGCTCAGAAAATCCTCATGCAATCGTTGAGAAACAAATGCACCCACAACGAGCAACTGTTTGGTGCGGATTTCGGTCAGGCGGCGTGATTGGGCTTTACTTTTTTAAAGATGAGGCCGAAATTGCAGTGAACGTGAACAGCATTCGTTACAGGAATATGATAAGGGAGTTCTTAAGGCCTCAACTGGACTGCATGGATCTGGACTACATACTGGTTTCAGCAGGAAGACGCCACCGGCCACACCACGCATGAAATAATCGACTTATTGCAGAAACAATTTTCAGAACACATTATCTCACGAAAGATCGTACTATTTAACGCCGTGCGATTTTTTTTCTGGGTTTTGTGAAATCTCGGGTTTATGCGAATAAACGTGTTATCGGTGAGATACAGTCACATCTCTGTGTAAAAGTCATGGAAAATTTCATGACAAAGTAATGGTCTGTCATCAGAGCCGTGGGGGCCATTTGCCCGATATTTTATTCCAGACTTAATCGGCACATGTCTTTTTTACAATCCAATATAATATCATGACTCTTTCATAAAATATGTGTTTTTATTTTAAAATGAATAAGTGCACTCTTACTGAGACATCCTTTATATAATAAATATAATCTAAATCTCGGAAACCGCTCCAACGATTTCATGAAATTTTGTATGCAGGGGGTTTTGGGGGCGATTAATCGATCTAGCTAGGTTTAATTTTTAGAAAATTTTACAAAAAGAAAATACCGAGCAAAGCTCGGTCATCCAGGCACCTACTATATTTTAAATTTCGCAACCGAAACTAACAGTTTACTTTGATATTTCTATTTCAAATTTTTTCATGTCAGCCAAGCTTTTTGGGCAAAAATTGGGAACGCAAACAGATAATACGGACAGACAGATGGGCTTGGCAAAACTATAAGGGTTCTTTGTTAGGACTACGGAGCCTTAAAAAGAATCGATGGAAATAATATAATCCTTTCTTTAATCAATTTAAAAGGACATTTTCTCTGTTGTGACATCATTATTAGAGTTTAGAGAATTTATCACACTGTTGATAAATTCTCTAAACTAATTAACTATTATTTATTCTTATAATAATATGTGATATATTATTATAAGTTTTTTAATATACATATGTAGATGTAAAACAGATTTGGGACGCAGCTTTTAAGTAAGCATGTTCTTTTCTCGGTTTTTCGAACGATCTGATACTATCTATGATCCTTTTTTTAAAGTACGTGTTGAGGGCAAACGAGCAGACGGTCATCTGATGGTAAGTGACTACTGCCGCCCATGGACATCTGCAACTGAAGATTCTTTATCGTCGAGTCGAAGTTTTTTTTAATGAGTGGCGCAACTGGCAATGGCAATTCCACACATCTCACACACGGCAGTCTGATCCCAAACTAGGCAGAGCCTGTACCATAGTAATCAGACTGCTGATAAACATACTTTTATATTTCTAAATACATACATACTATAGATAAATTACACCCAGGCACAGAACAAATGATCGTGCTCATCACACAATATTTGTCCTGGGTGAGAATCGAACCCACGACCTCCAGCTTAGCAGTCAGGGTCACTAACCACTAGACCAACAGCCGTCGACGGGGCCCCAGGCTGATAGAGAGTGGGGACTTCTGGCGGCAGATTAATTGCTGCGGTAGGCGATAGGATGGCAGCCTGGTCCCAAAATGCAATGGAGCCGCAACATATTGATTGGGCCGATAGGCGGGGGGAAGCCTGCCACCTCCGGGATAGGGCATGGCTAGGTGCGGTGTCGAGTGGGAGGGACCTGACTGAAATAACATGGTACGGGTCCTCCCCATAGCAGGGCCTGTCGCTTAAAAGCCGGAGATCCGAAGGGATTTTCCACCCCGTCAACAAAAAAAAACCTTTCGTAATGGCTATAGAAAACAATGATTAACTATATATGAACTAAAAGATGTCTTGACTACTGTAAGAACTTTATTAACGGGAGACAATTTGACGATAAACGAATCACCGATCTGGGTCGTGCTCCCGGTAGTATCATTTAATTACTGAACTCATTATCGCTTCTTCCCTCCTCTCTTAAAACGGCATTTTATCCAGTTATGTGCCATTTCGTATTCTATAAATACTTTGCCAACGATAAGGAACAAATTTTTGCAAATCACACAGATAATTGTCCTTTATGAGCATCAAACTCATAAAAGTTGATATAGTGGCAGTTGGATCAGTTTCCATCAAAACACTGCCGCACCAATGGTGTAAACAACCGAAATTTCCCAAATTAGTAAACCTGCTGCGTACTTAGTTTCTGGTCTCAGTTTCGGTTTAAATCCAAGTATTATAACTAATAGGGCGTTTTTGCTTATATGACTGATAGCTTAGACTTTGCATGTAATTATGTTTTTAAGTATAAGTAAGTAAGTTTTTAAGTTTAAATAAAATATAAAAGAACATTTCAAATACTTTTTTATTTGATTTGGTAATTAACTTTACAAAAATAAGGTAATTAAATTCGGGATGCAATATTTCCGAAAGTCTTCGTTTCGCAGTCCCTTTTAGAACAGTAATGTGTTTATTTTTTTATTATTTACTACTATAACTTGATGTACATGTCTATGATCTACAACATGACGTTCCTACATAAAAACTGTACCCTTGTGTGTGTATAGCCGCTTTGGAGAAAATTTCTGCAATTCTTCTAAACAAAAACTTAAAATATTTCACATTTGTGTATGCGCAAATTTTGTTAATATATCTCCCTGATAGAATAACTGAATGATAATAAATTAATTTATTCCAAATAATAATTTAACACAAAGAGTCAATTACATCAATTAATTTTATCTAATTTAACCCAATTATATAAATTATAAGTAAACACTGATTCACAGTGCACCAATAAGGAAAACACACGAAAGGAAACGTCAATGGATTTCATTGTGATATTGACATTTTTATTTAATCTTTAAATCAGTTCACGAGATCGCAGATATTATTGATAAATCTTTAACTGACGCACGTCACTAAATTTAATTTCACAAATACAAACTCAATATTTAACCAGCTAAACCTATGGGTATGGCATGGCTTAACTAGGTTAAGTAGCTCCGAATGTCTGTCCCTGTATCCCTCTTATTCTAGGCGCACGCAGAGTAACACATCGTTAGATTTTAGTCGGTTCTATTCCTAACCTATAATACTAATTTATACCAAAATTAATATATGTAAAACCATGAATGATGTACAAACACTGTTTATTAAATTAATTATTGTTATTATTCCGACACAACGCCCCGGTGAGTTGACGGCCCGAGAGAGTTTCCATTTCCACAAGCCTACTTAGGTAAAGTATCTATACCACTAGAGTGCCTTATTGTATCTAATAAATATAATAATAACTTGAGACCCCTCACACACTGCCGGATTCCAAAGTAAAATTTCTTTATTACATAGAATTATTCAAAAATGCTTGATATCGTTTTGCAGATGAACTCAATGTACAACTATAAACACCTAAATATCGTGTATTTGGTAAGATAGTACGAGTAGATATGTATATAGATATATGCCAGGAATCTATTATCGGCACATGCTGACTAATTCTTTTTTATTTTTCAGATAGTGCAATAAAATTTAATTAACTATATTACATTGCCGATTTTTTTGGTTGCACACTAAAACCAGGCTGATTAAATATACTTATAAAGTACTAAATACAATAAATGATCGTGATAATCACACAACTATTTGTCCTTGGTGAGAATCGGACCTTTCGGAATCATATCACATGGACATACTAGCAAGCTCATTGTTAATATTGAAATCGAACCCGGCTACAGTATTTTGCTTGGTGATTTTGTTACGTAAATGATTAAAGGTTCTTGTGTGTACGACCTACTGTCATCATCCTATGAATTCTCGCAGTTTCGTTTTTCATCATTTAGGTACGTGTGGTGTGTCCTATCCGTGTGAAATTCCGTATTCTTAATCCGTCACCGATTAAGAATACGGAATTTCACCACCCCTATTCATCCCGTGGGTGTCGTAAGAGCCGACTAAGAGAACAAACTACGCAGAACAACAGCACTGCAAAGAGAAGGAAAACTTGACACAAACCCTATACCAACCCGTCTGGCCAGCGTGGTATAGTAGGCCAAAACCTCCTTTCTAAGGAGAGGTCTATGTCCAGCAGTGGACTATTATAGGCTGTTGATGATGATGAGGTACGTACCTTTAAGGTAAGTAACGTTTGTCACTAGAAATGTTCCGTAAAACATTAGTAATTCTTAATAAAAGCCTCCTTAAATGACAGATGTAGGCATTAGTTATTTTGTTTAAATACCACTAATATGTAAAAGTGTAATGAAACTTACCATATTCTTGACATTGTCGACATTTCTGCCAGAAATAATAGCGATGTATACATCAGACATGTTTGATAGCCTCTGAAGCGTGTGTTTGGTTTCTAGTGGTAAAGTGGCCAAGTCGGGATGTGGAGCGATCGGAGCAAGGGTACCGTCGTAATCCAACAGAAGGGCCAATTTCTGGGTGTAACCAATATACCTGCAAAGACGACTCAACTCTTACGGCTAGAATCTGACAAGCATTTCATTCGAACAAAATAAACTTATTTGATAAATTGATTACTAACTAAAGAGAAGGGTAGATAAGCGAATTAGAATGTATCTAAGAAATGAACAGGTTAGATTCCTTCCTAGTGGTTTGCGTTGGTGGGAATACAACAATTTGAGCAACACTAGCTCCCCGAACAATCCCAGAAACCCTTTTATGTTACCGGTGACCTCGGAAAGTGACTCTGTCGAGTTAAGCCATCGCCAATATAATGATAAAAATATTCATCGGGAGTCAATGAGTAAATTAATTACTAGAGGGCGATTAAGATCATCTGGAATATGATAATACAAACAGATTCATAGTGGATGGTTTAAAAGAAATATGGCTTTATATTTACATCAGCTTAAATTATTGTATCAACAACAAGTTCTTCTGGACTGAGTTTGTCTGATTCTTTTTTTGTTTTTCTAGTGTAAGGGATAACCACGTGACCAGACCGGATCACCTGATGGTAAGTGACTACCGACACCTGTTACTCTAGAGTTCAAGTTGCCATGAGTTTTTCAGTAAATCTGTGTTAAGACTCCGGTCGAGCTCAAACTGTATTTATGCTTGTTTCACATCAACTTACTTGGATAAATACTCATCGAAGTCATCAATACTGAGTGGTTGCATAGTGGTAGCTCCTAGATCATCAGCTTCTTCTTCTAGCGAGTCCATGGCTTTTAGGAAGGCCTTCATCCAACTGTCTACATCGTTTAGTTGCTCCCGTCTTCTGAGATGGTTCATGCGGACTGTACGTTCGTCCTCCGGCATGATGAGAGCTCTGGAACCGAGTTAGTGCCCTTAGAGTATTTTAACGAATATTGTCTTGGAATTTCAAGGAACTTCAACTATCATATATTTATATTTATTGGTTTTTGATCATATTTTTATTTAAACTATTTGCTCAATTATTATGTAATTCTACGAACCTTATTATCAAGCATCCCTATCAGTTTTTAAAATAGCAGCATATTACATAATGTACGTTTTTGTATGTTTGTATTTATATGTTTTGTTGATAGTTATACTAATTAGTTTATCTATGTATTATTGGCAAGCGTGTTTTAGTAAATAATAAAGAATATGTTTATCTACTGTATGATGTTTTTCAAGTGACACATAGCAAAGCGAATATAGCAATAAATGTGTGTATCAAGTGTTATTATTTTTATAACTGTTAGTGTCAGTGTTCTAAATTACTGACCGTAATTGTAACTTATTTAAATACGTTCAGATATCGTTTTAATGTGCTCTAAAAAACTTACTTTTTGTTATAAATGAAATTGTAACACTAACTAGTTTCCAAATGTTTTAAATACTGCAAGGACTGTCGGTCTTTTTTTGATACTCGCATTGATAGTTATAGAATACTCGCTTAAGTAAAAGAAGGTATTCGTAATCATAAATATTAATTTTGAAATTATTTTGATAGAAGTTTGTATTATAATTAGACTTGCAACGAATAGTATATTCGGCAGTATATCGAATACCGAATATTCGGCGAGGCCCCTGACCGAATAGCCGAATATTAGGCAAAAGTATTCGGCTGGATTTTAGCGCCAAAAACTTGTACAGACGTGAATTAAATTATGTACCTGTTTTATGTACCAATGACTACTTAATAAATGATTATAAAAGAAATGAGAACCTTACCCTTCTAAATTTTGATTACCACAATAATTCAAATACATAGAATCCTCCATTTTTCCAATTCAGAAGATGATTATGTACCTGTGTTATGCACCAATGACTACTTAAATGATTATAACAGAAATGAAAATATGAATATATACGTAATCAATCGATTTTAGTTTTTCATTTTACCAATTATTTCTCAATGACAAAATATATTATTTAAGTATTCGGTATTCGGCCGAATATAATAAAAGCAGCCGAATAGGCCGAAAACCGAATAGTAACCGAATATTCGTTGCAAGTCTAATTATAATCCACATTACAACCTTACATGTGATGACATCATATTTAAGGTGATGGGACAGATGATTATGATAAATGATGGGACAAACGTGCATGAGGTGTAGTCCTTTAGAAATTAAAATAACAAAACCCTTGTGACAAAAAAACGTGTATCTGCATTTTGCTTTCCCTTTTGGTACCCAATTTATAGTACTGCATGTATGTACCTGTGAATAACTTCAGCTGCATCGTCCAGCTCATAAGGATTACAGATGAGCGCTTCATGCATCATTTCCCCTGCTCCAGCGAATGGGGATACTATCAGAACTCCTGGTGGTTTCTTTATCTGACAAGCCACAAACTCTTTAGCCACCAAGTTCATACCATCTCTCAAGGGCGTAACCAAAGCTACAGCTGCATCACGATAAAATGCTGCCAGCTCATCTTGTCCAATGCAGCCGAATATATACCTGTCAATATTAAGTCATTATTGAAGGAATAAAAAATAATAAATACAGAAATATAAAAGAATGATTTTAATTATATAAATGATCTAATATGTGATTAAACTTGTCAGTTTTCGTTAGCATATTAGTGATACACATCTCGAATGAAAGCAACAGCACTTGAAAAGTAATTTCCATTGTTCTAGACGTTGCGATGTTCCTTTGAGTATTTGAACTATGATTCGCTTAATTGATTGTTTGGTTTCCCTGTGACTGTAAACTTTATCATTACCTAGAGATTCATATAATCGATGCAGGACTTATAACATAATTTGACGGGCTGCATGGACTAGTCGTCAGAGAGATCCTGATGCTGATATTAGCTACCGATTTCCACCCAGATCAAAGAATTGTGTAATGAGCATGATTATTTGTTCTACGTACTACTAGCAATACACAAGTCTATTTATCAGGAGTTTGGTGACCAAAGCTCTGCCTATTTTGGGATTGTACGGCCGTGTGTGACGTGTGTTAAGTTATTAATTATTATTAAGCTCAAAATATGACAAAATGTACACACCTGATTGGTGACCAATTAGGTGTAGTAAATCTTCCATTTATTCTTCCAACGAGCTGATCCATTTCTTCTTTCAAATCTTGATATTCTTTTACGTCTGTTCTTGACGGCACAGCGATCTGCAGTAATACAACTTTTTCTATATGTTCCGGATGCTTCTCGAGTAGCCTTTCAAAAGCTTTCAGTCTGTGTACTAGTCCTTTGGTATAATCCAGTCTATCGACACCTAATATTATTTGTTGGCTAGTAGAGAGCACTGATTTTGCATTTTGGGCCAGTGAAACGAATCTGTCAAAAGGTACTCCAATAGGTAATGGCCGAACGCATATAGTACGTCCACCCAACTCGACTAGAAGATTCTTCCTGTCCACACGACATCCTAAGTTTCTTTGGCAACAGTCGATGAAGTTTAAGCAGTAGTCTGCTATGTGAAATCCAACCATATCGCAACCTGAACAGATAAGAGGTCATCAGATAGTGGTTACATTAACTAGTAAACTATTATTTTTAACGCATGTTTACTTACCAAGTATGCCTTGTAGAACTTCATCAGACCATGGAAATAGTCTGAATATATCCCATGGAGGGAAAGGGATGTGTAAGAAGAACGCTAACTTGCATTGTATTTCATCTTCTTCTGCACGCTGTGGATGAAATCACAACATTAGCCACTAGAGACAGATATCATTCGATCGCTACATGAAACCTTTAAAAGGTTCGGTCGTATGATATGGAGGTCGGTTATCGCGCTAAAAAGTATCCTATGTTACTCGCTGAAAATGAAGCTTTTCATTATTGAAAGAATATTTGAAATAGGTTTAGTAGCTTAGGTGTGAAACAATTATAATATATATAAGTATGGATAATTTGCTGATATAACGTAGTAATAAATACTATATAGAGAATTTCAGTCATAATGCGGAAGGTTTTGATTTTGTTTGTTTTATTTTATTTCATTGAACAGCATAATTTCAAATTTTTTGTAAAACTTTTTTTAAGCAAGAGATCAGTGTAAACCTTAGTTTCGTCTATAGCAAATCAAATATTATCTTTGCATCAAATGGACAACTTATTTCAGCAATAATAATGAAGTTGTTGACACAAATGAGGAATGTTAATTATCATATTTCAAAGGCGAAGGTCTTCATAGGAGGCACGGCTTCACTGACCTGTCGTATCCAATTAGCGGCTAGCATAAGGTGGTAATCATGAACCCACACGATCGGTGGTGAGGCCTCAGTTCTACTACCTTTCTGCTCCTTAAGTAAATGTAAAGCGTGAACTGTTTTTTCAGCAAACTCTTCATTTATTTTAATGTATGCTTTCCAATGGTCGGCGATGAATGTGGCTCGATCAGGCATGGAGTGAAAAAGAGGCCAGAAGGTGCCGTTACAGCAGCCATTGTAGTAACTGTCGAAGAGTTTTGGCTCAGCTCGTATGGCGACAATCTGCAAATTGGAAAAAAAAATTTTTAATGTATTTTGGTCCATAACAATGCTTTCAGAATGTTGTTGGAGCTGCCGCGTCGCTGTAGTGTCTACGGAATGTTTGCCGAAATGCAAACTGATGGGTTCAAAGCGGTAATGAGTAAAAAAATAACTTCCATCTTGCAGCGCCAACAACAGCTTTTTTAAGGTCATTGCTGCAAGGTTCGACTGCCCTATTAAAAACATTGGGTAATGTCAGTTATAGGAATGATACAAAATAAATTGAATTTAATGAAACCAATAACACTAACATAATTATAAGCAAATTGTTACTAATACACTAACACTATGGATTGTATCACTATGGTCTGAAATAAGTGATTATTATTCTATGGAAAAAAAACTTTAGAAGTTCTATCACTAACTTGGTTACTTTTAAATTTTATTTTTAACACGAATATCATATATGGAACATCAAAATATGGAGTTATGATGAGAGACCAGACACCAAAATGTACCTATTTTAATAATTCATAAAGTTTTTCTTATTAAAATTATAAAAAAGTCAATGCAGCATCCTTAACTGTTTTGGTCATAGGAAAATAAGACATGGACCTTTCAACGGGCTTTTTTTCTGATCAATTACATACTAGTAAAGTTAAAGCAACACAATTTCTGAGATACGACATTTCACTTTCTACTGCAGAAAACTGATATCAGAAAGAGAAGTTGACCAGACTTGAAGTAGAGCTCAAGACATTCACCTTGAGGAACTAGAAATTCATGTTACTTTTATTCAATAATAATAATACATACTTCCATACTATGTGGTGGTTTGTTTGTTACGCTTTCCACCTAAACCACTAAACCAATTTAAAAAAAGTTAACCAATGGAAAGCTATATTTTATTAGTGAGTACCATAGGCTACTTTTTACCGCGGCTCCGCCAAGATGTATGCATCTTGGCGGAGCCGCGGGCAAAAACTAGTAGATAATAAATTAAACAATTATCTGTTTACCAGAAGGCCAATTCTCGTAATAAAAGTTTAACTTTCGATCTCACAACTGTCATAAAAGGCATTTTCGACGACACTGACGACACTTTGTGTAATCCACAAATGATTGTTCTGAGTCTGGGTGTTCTGTGTCCGTTTCATGTATGTTTGTAAAGTTCCTCGCGTAATAGGATATATTCCTAATGCGGGAGTTGTCTTTACATGAATTTATAATTTATTGCTAAAAAATCCATAAATACGTAATCGAAATGTAAAGAAAGAATATGTATAATATACTGTGCATATAACGCATGCACATATTTACAACTACATCGTGATCACGTGATGAGGCCATCCTCCGCGACGTATCCGTCAATGGCTAACCTTACTGTAGATTTCTCTATGCACCAGATTACACATTGCCGTATTAAGCACCAGTTTTTAGTCCCCGTATTTGGATTTTTCAGTTGTCTAAAATCGTATAGAACCAGTTCCGGGTTCTTCCCTGTTGCATAAACTACCGACTTCGCTAAACATTAGGTTACGACTCACGATGCGATCCAGTATTTGTTTTACAGTGGATGTTGCAATGGACACGTGTGATTTTTTGCTATGGTATAGCATCTGATAAATAAATGCCAATCTACTGCGTTGTACCTAGCTATAAATAAATATACTTGCAAGTTTATTCCACATTTGTAGACAGCCATGCACTGACATAACTGTACAAATTTTAAAATAGTCATGTCAAATTGCTGATTAAATATACATATATTAAGTTATAGTCACACACCTATCCAAATAAAACATTATTAATTATTTTCAAACATTATTGACCTTAAATTAAGTCAACTCATTTATCACTTCCTTTGTACTGAAATGGATTATAATAATTAGCGGACATTATATAAATAAGAGCAAGTAGACACCTACAGCGCGACTTAAGCAAAAGCTATTTGCAAAACACGGTGTAGGTGGAGAGGGTGGGTCTATAGCTCGTTTTATTTGTAATGAACTTAGAAGAGGGTACTTAAGACGAGAAAGAGTTGTGACGAAAGTATTAGATGTTATAACCAAAAAAGTTTCAAGTGCGGTCGATTCCACGCCGCGCGCCTTCTTGAAGGTTAAATATAAGTAATAATATAGTGAAAAGATCGTAACAAAAGCATGAGAAATTTTCGATATTCTTTCCGTGAACTCCCTGAACCTATTTATAATACTTTTCGTACCCTAATTCAGAGAGCGCACATTACGGCTTTTGACCGAAAACGGACATCTTAATTTATTTACATCTTTCGATAAACAAAGTCATTTTCAATATGAGAGACAATGAGAGTAGAACTCCCGTGCGATAATTTTGATGAAAGTTTTTCTTATTTTTTTACTTTTCTCTTTATCTCTGATTGTGAGGATGCATTATTGCATTGCAGTACAGGAATATTTGTGCGCTGTAAAAGCTAAAAGTAGTAGAGAATGAGATGCCTACCTTTTCTGAGAGCAGTCCAGCCGTAGGCGTTTTGTCCATAGGGTCTGAGTGTGGGATTTTTTCATTAGGATCGAGGTGGATTCCGGGCCATCCCACCCAAATGCCGCCACCACGAATTACAACCGGAGCAACTGCAGTCACCAAACCTCCGGCACTGACAAAGATTTAAAAATAAGTAACCCAAACAAATATTTGTATATATATTTTTATATATTATAGGCAGACATAATTCTTAAGTCAGCACTGCAACGAGTAAGAAAACTTGAAGCAAACCTAATACCATCACTGGAGGTTTTGGCCTACGTCTGGCCAGCGTACCTCGCTGGCCAGGCGTAGTCCAAAATCTCCTTTCTAAGGAGAGGCCTTGCCCAGCACTGGACACTGGCTGGACTGGACTGTGAGACAGCGGTTAATAATGAATTCTTAATATTATTTTTATTGCCAACTGCTGCATATTATGCCTACCTCATGTTATGATGTATAAACCTAAAAAAAACATCTCATAACATAAACTTATGGTCACTCTATTTCAATTAGGAGTAATTACAGCGTTTGTGTCTACTAATTGTGACCACAATTACAAACTGTGTAACTTACATCAAGCAATCGAATACGTAGAAACACTGAAGAATTCATTAAATAAATTGGCTCCTTGACGATTTAGAACTCTTGCAATATTCTAAGTTTAAATATCAAAACTCTATGGCATTTTCCACAAAAATTAAAGGAGTTTTCATTCATATTGAACTAACTTAAAAAACATTAGTACGGTAAATTCAAGGTCATTACTCAGACAGTCAAACAAATGACTATTATTGACTCGTCCGGCAATCGTTGTATATCATGCCTACATAGTAGGTACTCGAATGATAAATCTACTTCACATCAATCACTTTATTAGTACACAAGTTGCCACCGGTAGTGACGTAAGAATATTTCGGGTTTGTCACGAGCGCGGTCACGTCATGCCAACGTTTCACGTGTACCTCTGAATTAAATGACAATATGATTCGTAACGAGGAAGTCCGTGGAACCAAAGTTGAATTGCCAATGGTCAGGTTAAATTGTCCGAAAAACTGTCAAGGATGTCTAAGAGTGTTTATCGTGTATCGATTACGAACCAAATATACTAACTTTGAGTGGGACCAACTTCAATCAACAATACTGTATTGTTGATCGAAGGGGACCAAGCTGGAAAAGATACGCGTATTACTAAGTTAGTTTTCGTGGCGTATCATACATTTAAAATACTTGAGCCAAGGTACGTCCTTGCATCAAAAATAAGTAGTTTTATTTAACTGCTACGGAATCGGCAGTGGTTTTAAACATATTTACTTTTCAATCGTTTACACATTCAAAGTTCAAGTAATGTTGACAAAACCTTTAGGATATTATAATGGCGGACGTTTCTACATTGCCAATATGATATTTAAATAGATCTATTTCCCACAATTCTAATTCTAAGTTAAAATACCTAATACTATTTTTTTAATTTTGTGTCTGTATAGGAAACAAAACTTATAATAATAATACATTTGCCATAATATTTTAGAATCAAGGTGAACATGTTTCTAGGTATCATAAACATCACATTATTTCATGGAACTCTGGTACCCAAGGTAAGATTAAACTTGTGGTATGGGTAACAAGGGCTCTCGCATAAACATATACAAAAGAAGTAAAATACTACATATATTAGCGAGCTTACTATTAACAATTTTAGTTCATTTTAAATTGAAACTTTTTACAAGACTTCACAATCACAAAATAGGTGTGCATGTGTGTATATGTGTGTGTGTGTGAGTGTGTGTGTGTGTGTGTGTGTGTGTGTGTGTGTGTGTGTGTGTGTGTGTGTGTGTCTTAAATTGAGTCTGTACGGGTGTATGGTTTTATAGCGTTGAAAATCGGAGTAGCTTCTCAAGAATTATATTATATTCATATTATAAATTCGGTGTAAGGTAGTGTGCCTAATAGTGACTCGAAGGTCATTGTCAATCGGGTTTCATTAGTTCATTACACAAATTGAACGTCCGTTGGAGAATTTAGCTTTTAGTACACACCCAGTCTATTTCATAGGTTATGGACAAATTGTGATTAGATATTATGAGTGCATTATTGCTACCAACGCCATATCCGTCTATCGACAAAACACGTATAAGGCAGCTATATTTTGCCTAGTAGTAATAGCTCTGTACCATTTATGAGCTAACAAGAGTTTGTCTTTATTCAAACCACTAGATAAAACTGGTATGATGAAGCTAACAGGTGCCAATGGTCTAACAGGCCAGTTGTACAACATTGACATATGCGACTTTGTCACATATATACTGAATTTTCGCCATTGATTTTACGAAGCGTATTAATAACAAAAGCTTAATCACGTCTTAAATGTGATCTTATTAATTTAATATTTCCAAACCTATGCAGCCTTTTTGAGACATATATTTGGGGATATATTCTTAAATCGATACTAGGGTAAGAGGACTCTCAATTTTACTTGCAATTTTCCCAGCAAAAGTTCCAGCCAATGTAAAAGTCACAAATTCTGTAAAATAAATGATAAATGACGATTTGAGCTATCATCTAACATGTATCTGAAAATCGAATGGTTTAAAAACATTTAAATATGCGAACGCTGCCTAATGTTATCTGTTAGTTTACATAACTTTTGCATCAACATCTAACTTTTTAGTTAATTAACCAATTAGTATTGTTATTAAATAAAGTTTACTATTATAATCATTAATAAGGTGCATGAACTGATAAGAGTTCAATATTACTTAAATGTTTTGTTTTCTTTTGTATTACATACTTGTGTTACTTAATTTATCATCCACGAGTTCATTGAGTGCTGGGTTGTATTCTACTCGTGTCTAGTATAGTATTCTGTTTGTACTTATTGTAATATAAGCCGTACTTATGCATTATAGTCTTTATTTTGTAACTGTATCCATCGGTGAAAACTATGTATTAACGTGTTAAGACAGACATCCGCGGCCGTCGACCCCGAAATTTTCATTCTAAAGCTAGTTGTCCTAGTAGTGTCTATGGGTTACCCATTTTAGGCTAAAGAGACAGTGTCCTACGAAAATTCCATTTTATATAAATATAAAATATTACAGTTCTGCCGATTTCATTCCAGCCATTGTGTCCGAGAACTTCCACTCATATCATAAATGAAAAACACAAAGAACTTTCTATATTATCTACTACAAAGTCTTCTCATTAATTAAGCATAAAACTTAATGCACGACTTGATTTATTGAATAATAGTGATATTATACGTTTTATCGCTGCAGGAGTCATGTAAGTAGGTTATCATCCCGAACGTTATAGTTTAAATAAATTTAGCAGCAACTTGCAGGACTGATTGTCGCTATCTAAAGACCTAAATAAACTATCTCCTTATGTTTTGGTAACAATAACATACGGATGACATAAAGCTGCCTATATACAACTAACCTAGTTACAAAGTACATATCTCAGGAATTATTTTTGTAGGTTACACGAACTGTTTATTTTTTCTTAATATTTGTTTTCACTGAATTTATATCAAGTTAAAACCCCTTCTTGACGTGCTTTCGTTATTAGTAAATAGCTAAGGCTCGAGTTTCAAGACAACTAAATTATTTTTTACTTTAGTATGAATAAGTGGGAAGCCTCAATAATTAGACAAACGAACTGAAGATATGTAAGTGGAAACTATGTCTACTCTGATCTGATGTACCTCGTAGAGCTAGACTGATGTACCTACTTCGTAGCTTAGACTCGTAGACATGACAATATAAATATTGTAACCCTAATATGATTTTTATATGCATATCATGAAACTAAGGGTCCCTTAGAATCTACCGAGTAATGTCGAATCTTATAATAGCAAACCCTAAGCATAATTTAAATTTAAATTAGTTGTATCTGCAATACCGTTGAGTTTCATATTTTGATTTTGAATCTTCTTCTTTTAGAGTAAATACTACCTTTGCAACATAAATACATACGTACAGATGTAATTTGGCAAACGAAATACCTGGTGTACTTAGTACCTCAAAACGAGGAAGAAGACGAAACTAATAACGCAGATAAGTTTTGAAACAATAATAATTTGCAAATGTATGAGTGAATAGTGTGAATGTAGAGTGTACGAGTATTTACAATTTACACACATATCACATCATCACATCAACAGCCTTTAATACTGCACTGCTAGATATAGGCCACGCACGGGATAAATTATAGGGGTGGTGACATTTCGTATTCTTAATCCGTCACCACACGAATAAGTGTAGGTACACACATGTAAACCTGTAATATTATACTTGCAGGAATAACACACATATGTAAACCTGACTGTGTATTTCATTTGGCGTTACATTAACAAATAAATTATTTACTAAGTACATAATATAACACGTGGTGTCTCAATCTAGTTCTGTATTCTAATCATGTTATTGTTACGAAAAACAGATAACTATTTCGTAATGTTATTTATTAGCCGTCCCTTAGCAATAATGGAAAATAGAGACTATTTTATTTTATTGTTTGATGATAATGACAGTAATAAAATTGTTAATAATACTTGACTTTGTAGACCGTAATAAACATATTCAAGTAAAGTAAAATGTTCAAAAATAAAAGTTGTGTTAAAAGTATTTTTTTCGGATGTCATTTTGATTTATAATGTAATAATAGGTAATGGATTATTTTATTAACAACGCTTTTCGAGAAGAATGTTTTTTTTTGGTTTTGTAAAAGGTCTACCTAGCAACCCAAATTACTAGTATTCCCGTTAACCCCTCCAGCTAAGCTAAGTTACTTGTGTTAGGAGTTCGTTTACTTTGGTAGTGTACTGGTCAGGATTCGAACCCACGATTTCTTAATCGCAAGTCCAATGTCTTAACTACAAGGCAACCCCCGCTTCAAAAATGAATTGTGTAAATTCAAATCCATTCTAATTCACACATTTACAATACTGATCCATATTTGTTTATTCAATTTGATATTATACCTTAGCTAAAATATTAAAAAACTGTCTGAACTTATAATTATGTGTTTCTAATAAGACATTGACTTTACAGTAAAGATTTTAATTTGATTGAATTTTACAACAAACATCCTACTAATAACAAAAAGTCACAAAATGTTAAAGAATTGTTTGGAAATAGGATCTAAGGATAGATATATATATAGGATAGAATTGCAAATTATCAAATAATTCTTAAATATATACAACCCATATGATTACGTATAGTCCAATCCTTTTACTATGTTTACGTACATAATTAATTTACCAAAACTAGAGACCACATCTGAACTTCGACTATTGATCGATCATATAGCTTGTCCTAAACCATGGCTCTCACAGTCACATAACTTAAACTGTTATTAATTTTAAAGACATGCTTAAAATTAACACGAAGAAATCAAAATGTCATATTCTTTTGCGAGCCATAGGTATTTGTTTAAAAAGAGGTACAATGGTTTTTTGTGATGGCATTTGCAATTAAACCGTATCATGTCATTGGGTTGAGGGTATCTGACTTGATCATGACAACAAATAAAATCAATTCGTATGGACGATAATTAGCCAACATCGAAATTTTAGTTTTACAAGTCATAATGTTTAATATCCATGTGTACTCCTTCGGGAACATAGGCGAGAGAATATGGAAAATTAAATATAATTCAAACGTGGAAGAGCCAGGCTTCGGTACAAATGTGCAGGCTCGACCGCAGTCACACGCAGCACATCACAGAAAACCGGTGTTAAACAATTATTTCGTTAATTTTCACTGGTTCTGGGAGGAGACTCAAATTGCAGCAATGCACTCGTGACTCTTGAGCCGCGGGTGCTCATGGACAGTTACTTGCTATTAGACGACCCATCTCCTCGTTTGTCAAGGTATACCACAAAAATGACTCTATCACAAACAGACCCTTTGAACAGTTTCAAGAGACTAGAACATGGAAATTATTGCTACTTTTCAATCAATCATGTTAATCATACTATGAAGTTATTGGTTTTAGTTATTGCGGTTTCACCTGTGATTGTGATTTGGTCATAGACAAATATAAATGTCATCAAAATCAATCAAAACTGTTTTTATCAAATACTGTTATCTTTGATAAAAAGATAACAGTCTTAGATAGATCTAGATCCTTTTTTAGATGTAGATCTTTCGCGAGTGTGGCGCTAGGGTGATAATAATAATTATTATTTTATTATAAATCTTTTTATAAATTATTCACAGGTGTGATTAAATGATTTATAAATCATAAAATCACATTTATCACAAGTAATTGTAAAATTATTCCAACCCTCTTTCGACACTTCAAGATCAAATCACTATTACATTATAAGGTAGAGTATAGAGGGACAATAGTAGGTATACATTTTGGTTTCGTCATGATCGTAGAATAATGTCGGTTTTTAAAAAAATACGATATTCAGTTTTTACCATATTTGGATACTACGTTGTCTAAATATTACACACACACAGACACACACATTCAAGAAAAAAATATTCAGTGTTTGTTTGATACGCCCTCGAAGTAAATTGAAGAATGTGATTTTTCTAGAAAATTGTATAATTATAATATTAGTTGTTATTTTTATTGCATTTTAAAACAAACCCTATTTTTCACTTGTATGCCAATTTTCATAATTACAGATTTAGAATTAAGAAAGTAATGTCAAAAAAAATCAAAATTATTTGAAATGGCTTGGTATTCTACTATTCTATTCTTTTCTTTCTATCTTTCTTTCTATTCTACGACTATGACGGTTTGGTTCACAACAGATATTGTAAACATAACAAGGACATCGTCAAGGATAATTTCTGGTCGACTCTGCATATTTATATAGTCAAGGGCTTTAAACATTTAAATGTCATTCCATTGTAAATAGATTTGTAATTTATTACAAAAACGATAGACACTCACTGTATCACTGCACAAACATAATAGCCTACCTATTATGTTTGTGTTTCTCGCATCATCGATTTACAGACAATAAACGCACATTTTTGTATAGTCGCATTATTGTTGTGGAAATTGCAAGTTAGCAGCTGACTGTAAAAGTGACTTTAACAGAAAAGCCGGCGTCCGACATTATTGTAGAAAAAGGTCCAAACGGTATAAAACATGTGATATCTATTACATTTTTTATATTATCCATGAAGTGCATAAATAAGTTTTTAGTTAGAATTGGGAATTAGCTTTTCTAGAAACATTCGCTAACAGCAAACGTTTCTAGAAAATCGGTCCATAAAACACAAGGATTTTTGACAAGGTAAATAAAATATAACGTTGATGTATGGCATTTTAAGTTTTATACTCTATTTTTCTCAAAGTGTTTAAAACAATCGGATCTTCAGTACTTAAATCATTACAATCACTGTCACTTAAATCATCACGGAAACTCACATCGAGTACGATATGTACATATATGATATTATTATGAAGTATCATAATAATATTATATAAATCACAAAGTATAACGTTCACATACCTGGCTTTCCGCTCCAATTCACTAGTCTTTTCATTTCTTTTCAGAATAAATGGCAATCGGTTCGAAACGACAATCATGCTGCTTTTGCTATTACACGACGATCGATGCCTGTTCTCGTTCTCTCCATTCATTTTAGGTACTTTCTTTAGAAAACGTTCCTATTCACGGTCAATCACAAATTCGACTACACGCATGCGCGGCCCTAGAAGAGGGAAATTTTAAAATAATTATTTACTGTAACACTGTTATTATTTTTTTCATCTCACGATAGCTGTAAATAATCTCGCGCTAATCATGAACGTCTACATCAACATCATTGGCGAAGATCGAATGCGTACTGTTTCTTTTGTGTGCGTCGAACGCTTTTATAAGACTGATGCGTCGCAAAAGGGCGAAGTTCTTGCTTGCGTCTGAATGCGTCGGAGGTCCGCGGTGCCGTTGTTAGGAGGTTATCGCTTATCACTCCAACTGACCCCTCAATAAATGCCTGATCTAAGTGGAACTGCGAATTTTGTGTGCAATGATTCTCGATCATGTCATCGCGGTATATTAACGCGCTACGTTTACATAACTATTGTGATCGAGTCTTTTGTCGACGAATAACATCATCTTCTGTTTTGAAGGTATCAATTTTAAAAAGAATGTCAAACTAAAATGATGTACCTATAATTACCTAATCCATCTATATAGAAGCTACTTGCTGCAGATACTGTGCAGTATTAGAATCCACAGCGAAACAAGAGCTTGAAGTTATGGGCTTCCTTATAACTAAGCTGGTCCAGGACCATGTTTCTCTAGTTATAAGGTAAGGATGGCTGGTATTGAGTCATTCAAGTTAGTTTTGTTTGTTCTTTTATATACTTCTGTACAAAGGCGGAAAGTCCTTTATTGTATGTCAAAGTATTTAAATTATTTGACTTTAATTATTTACTTATATTGACTTCTTCTTGATTACTTTGAATATATAATAGATTATAGGCATAATGCTGACATACATCTTAATCAGATGTAACATTTATATTGTCATTTCTTTTGTGGCGACTTCAAATAGACTAGATTTCAATTGTTATTATAATGTTAGCTGTTAAATTGACGGTCGCACTTATTTTACTTCTTTTTAATTAGATTTGTAATTATTATTTATTATTAGTGCTATTGGTTAGTATTGTTTGAAGTCGGTTTAACTTCTTTTTTAAAATAATTTATTTTACCATTTTAGTGTAAGATATGTTTGTAATAAGTAGATAAGTACGATATTTAAAACACTACGTTCTGGAATGTATATTACCAAACTGCAGTATGTTAGATTGTATTAAATTTAGTTTATAAGTGCGTTTTTCATTTAGATAAGATGTTACATTGAACAGGAACATGTATTGTTTTCCACATTTCTTAATTTTCAACCACTAGGAGTGGCATTTTTTTCTTCAAGTCTTTTTACAATTGAAAGAGTTTTGAGGTAACATGTATAAAAATAATTGCGTAAAAAAATTGTTTTGTCTTAATGTTTGGTAATCTCATTTATTACTCTCTTGTAGACATATCTCTGTAACCCAACACAAAGACTTAACAAATATCTTAAAAGAATAAAACAAGATAAATACATGATTTGATTTTTTAAATGGTTATCCTCTTCTAACTCCTAAAGGTCAAGGATCCTTCCATCATCAGCTCAGCAACATGATATAACGACTACTAAACGCAAATATCTATATAGCTAGAAAAAAAAGCTATAACACGTTTCGGGGCTGTGAAATGTGATGGTTTATATCGATTTCTCTAGAATCCCATCCTGATTTTTAGAAGTAAGTATACCCTTTCAATTACAAAAAGAATTTTGAAAATCGGTCCACAAATGACGGAGATACAACAAAAAAATGCAGTCGAATTGAGAACCTCCTCTTTTGCATTTTTGAAGTTTAAGACGATGTTACTTGTAAAATTTTATAGTTCTAGGTCAACGGGAACTGACTGAATTTTGATTCCCTCGAGAGTGTTGAAATGTGCGTTTCTTGCGACATAAACGGCCGTTTCTTTTTGTACGTTAACTTAGAAGTTTGTTTTTTTTGTAACAGCTTTAAGAAACTGTAGACCTGAGTAGATGGTTTTAATTTCAACTCGACACCTTTACGCGTTCCCGAGATAAAGGGTCTTAATAGACAGACATACAGACAGACGGACAACAAAAGGATCACATAAAGATTCCGTTTTTCCCTTTTGAGGTACCCCAAAATGCGAAGAGGTTACATTGAAGATGTAAAGGTGAAAAACACACTACCTATATCATAGTGCATCAATTGCTTGGAAGTCTACCAGTGCCCTGACATCTGTCATTAGTGACAGTTTTGACGTTGTGCACATTAGACATCACATTAACATCCATTACTAGTCCACTGCGGGATAAAGACCTCTCCTTAGAAAATATATTTTGGCCTATTATACCACCTCTTTCCGTGTGGTGACGGAATAAGAATACGTAATGTCACCACCCCTATTCATCCCGTGGGTGTCGTAAGAGCCGACTAAGGGACCAAACTACGCAGGACAACAGCACTGCAAAGAGAAGGAAAACTTGAAACAAACCCTATACCAACCCGTCTGGCCAGCGTGGTATAGTAGGCCAAAACCTCCTTTCTAAGGAGAGGCCTATGTCCAGCAGTGGACTGTTATAGGCTGTTGATGATACCACCTCTGCCTTTGTCCATTAAAATCAATTAAAATATATTTACCTGCTGTCAGACAGCTTGTGTATTGTTGTTTTTGGGCCTTTGTAGAAATCACGTTTTATTTGGACTGTTTAATTTGTCCAATAAAAATGAGAAGTTTTCATTGGAATCAAATGTTCATTTTGAGAAAAAAATAATGATATCGAAATTGTTCTAAAATCACGCCGTGACCCACAAGCGGAGCTCTGTGGGATACAACTATTGCATAATAAAAATACTACTACTGTTTCTATGTTCAACACAAAGGATTTTTCCTGTAATAGAATAAAAGATACCTGTAATAAAATTCCACTGCCGAATACAATTTTAAGTAGATTACAACACGAAGATAAATGAGTTGTTGTCCAGTGTGTACGAGTATGTACGTGTGTGTGTACGTGTGTACGTATGTCTTGTACTCTGATGGTTTGATTGCTTTGTGTTAGTGCCGACCCTTCAAAGTGGTCAACTACAAGTTGACAAAGATAATATGGAAGTTATTGTTCTTAATTGGCCTTGAACCATTTTCTTAAACTCATAAACTAGATTAAAGTTTTCTGTCATGTGATTATATATATATATATCTTATATATAAAATTCTCGTGTCACAATGTTCGTTCCCGTACTCCTCCAAAACGGCGTAACCGATTCTCATGAAATTTTGTGTGCACATCGGGTAGGTCTGAGAATCGGCCAACATCTATTTTTCATACCCCTAAATGGTAAGGGTGACCCATCCATAATTTTTTTTTGTTTTCCAATACAACGTTTGCCGGGTCAGCTAGTATATTATATATACGGAATAAAATTAATACAATAATGTCTGAGGTAACGAAATCATATGGATATTTCTGCTAGCTGTTTCTTATGGAATTTTCGGACTTTAGATTTGAACGTTATGGTGTATTTAAAAGAAAACTATGTACTTACAAATGTTAGTGGTTATTTAACTGTCGGTCGTTTTTATGATTTTTTTAAATATTAATATATTAAAAGGAATTAATATAAAATAGATATTTAAAAAATATTTAAAATCAAAGTGTGAGGCAGATATTTAATAGCCTAACTCAGCAGCAGTATCATTGCCATCATTACTATCATCATTACTTCTGGTCTTTTTCTCAGTTTTTTTGAAGTAAAACTTCTTTACGCACGCTTGGGGAGTGCGTGAATGCGTGATGAAAGCGTTACGAAAAGTGTGATCTGTGCGTTACGAAATGAAGTTGAGAGGGAGATATAAGTTACTGAAGATAGAATGAGAGAGAGTTACGTTTAGTCTGGTATTACTGTAGGGGCAAGAGAGGGAGGTGCGAGCACACATTTTCTTTCTCTCTTTCCCTCATAGCTAAGAAGTTTTACTACAGTCGTGTGGTCTGAAGCACACTCGTTTTTTTTTAAATTAATACAATGACTAACATTGCATATATGTAAAGTAGACTGGGATAGATAGATAGAAAACTCTTATTTGTACACCATTGTTACAAGATATATGATATAAGAATATCCATTTTTATATTATTATGAATGAGAAAATGAGTTTGTTTGTTTATTTGTTACGCTTTCAAGCTTAAACCACCAAACCGATTTTAAAAATTATTTTTCCGATTTTAAAAAGAAAGCTATATTATCGGCGAGTAACATACTTTTTACCGCGATAACCGACATGGGTGGAGCCGCGGGCAAAAGCTAGTAAGTATATAATTGTCATTTTGGTACTGGGACTGCAGTACCTCAGTGAAGTGTCGCATTCCCGTGTTTTGAGATTGAGGCCAATGGAACACTGTCACGAATTACCGGTCTAATATCCTAATAACTTAATATCCTATATATTTCTAAATAAAAAGTCAATATTCCAATCGTTTCTGACGTCACTCGTGTCTCATAGACAGGTAGAATTAGCTTTTTGGTTCGGCAAAATCCTATTAGAGTGATTTTAAAAAAATTAAAGATTAGATCTATCAGGAATTGATTGCAATAAAAATTACACCAAAATATAGTCAGCTGTTGCCAAAAAACTTGACAAAAATGGACAAAACCAGTTTTTTGCGTCTGGAGCGAAAACTAAAGATCCTACGAAAAAAGTTGAATGTATCAAATGTGTGCAATAAAAAAACGAAGAGAATGAACTATCGGAGAGTAAAATCGGACAATCAGATCACTTTTTTTTTGCAAAACTTGGAATGTTCATCAACTCGCGTTCGGGAAGTGGTAGAGAACGTAGTTGAGAAGAAGATCTGTTAACAGATTTACAAAAAAAAATGTCTCATTCAGCGAAGTAAAACATTTTTCACGCCTACAATTTGAATCGTTTTCTATAATTTTTGTGAGAGTCGCTAAAAAACAGCTGCAAGCTCCCGCGCATGGTTATCGTT